ATTCCCTACATTTTTGCTAATCCAGATAAATAACTATAGTTTTAAGCCTATATGTTTAGACACAAAATATCGTTTACGATTCTTTTTCAAGAATATGTTTGCAAGGTTTATGGTGGAATACCTCCTTAACATTAACTGAAATATTCAGACATTTTTTGGCGGCAAATTTGAATGAATGAAGACGTTATGCATGCTACACCTAGGGTCAGTAAATGTACATGAATATTATCAAATACATCGTTTGATGTTGCCGGAGAGATAAAATAAAATTTTGTTTGATTATACTCGAGGAATTTCTTGCCTATTTATTATTTTTTTGTTTTCCATTTCCGGTTTTAATTTATAATTTTCCACGTCGGAGAGACGCTATCGCTTCTTCCCCTCACACGCGAGCTGAATATTGCGTGACTGTTCGGGGTGAATGCCAACATGTTCACCGTGTAATTAGTTATCCACGAGAGGGCCTTATATTGTAAGGCAGATCTTGCACGCGCGAGGAGTTGCTTCAATTTATACAGGGTGAGACACTCGAAATTACCACCCGGATTCAAGCTCATTTTATAATACGCGGGTAAAAATGGGTCGAACGAAAGTTGAATGGCTTCGAGAAGAGCACAAGTCGGATCAAACGAAACGTTCCCAGCCAGAGGCGTTTCGGAGATTTGAAAGTGGCTTTTGTTTCTTCAAATGGGAATATATATTCTTTGTAACCGGGCTGCACATTGTTCCCAACGCCAGCCATCAGAGAATTTTTTTTTTTATCAAAATGTGATGCATTTTTTCAAATTATTTTGCCCCTTTTAAAAACAACCGCAATAATTTAGAATTATTTTCAGATTTCTGAAATTTTCCCATTTAATAATAATGAAAGTCCAAGCGATATTTTAAAATTGTTCTGCTCTGCTTTTGAAAGCTTAAAAAGCTTTGAGAGATTCGTGACGTCATTCACCGGTGAAAGAAGTGACTTTGGGCGGCCAATTTATTTGGCGCTGACTTAATCTTCGACCAATGATAGTCCGGTTCGCAGAATATGTCGATATCGAATTTATATTCAGTTTTCTCGACAGCGGAGCAACCTTGGTCGAATATCAACGGTGATACCTTGACTATAGAGTTCCTCGTTGCAAGAACAAACAGAATTATGTTTGCAGGTGGAAAGCCGCCAACTTGGGCAATATTTTTAGATTTTATGCAAAAATAAAAATTATTTTTCTCGTCGCTTGTGCACATTTTTTTATATAAAATAACGATGAAAAAGTTGGTCTATAATTAACGAGTCACCCTCTGGCTCGACAAAGCTTCGAAAGAAAATTTTCGTAAATTGGCGAATAACGAATGCGTTGGAAAACGTTAAGGGCCCCTCTGCGCAGGATTCAATTCTGCCATAGCACGCGATTCTACGTACGTGGCATTGTAATTGCACGATTGGCCGCGCGCAGAAGCCGTCGAGGATTAACTGGAACCTTCGTTTTGCCCGACTGGCCGAACTTCTCCCATGAAATTATTTCGTAACTCGATTCGATTTCAGACTTTCACAACGAGCCGCCGCCGCCGCCGCGTAGGTGAACTTTCTACGGTGCCCTCGTCCGACGTTATTTTCGTTAAATTTATCAGAACGAACATCGAACCGTTGCTTAACGAGGTCGCGATGAATTAAGCTGATATTGCCAGCTTCCTTCGAACGGCAGACCAACGATGCGATACTCTGTAGCCTTTGCCGCGTTTAAAAATATTTTCTCGGGGACAGAATTGTCTCCCCAACTGAAAAAGTTTCTAAAAATAACGTCGCGTTTTAAAAGTTGCACAAGTATCTAAAATTATTCAACAAATCCTCTTTTTTTTTTTTTAAGAAAATTAATTTCTATTAAAAAACAAATAGCAAATAATAAGAAGAATATTTATTGTATATTAATGCATGTATAGTACGTATAGTATTGTCTCGGTGACAACTCGAAGGACAGGTAGGTGTTTCGGAAAGTAACGGAGATAGCCACGCTGCAACTCGAGGGCAATATTTTTCCCCACTTTCGTCCCCTTTCGTTTCTCGGTAGCCAATTAATTGAATTGCATCCCCGTCGAATCAGGCTAGTTCGTATCTTTCGATTACATCTATTTTCAAATCTGCCGCGGTATCAGATTTAATTCTAATTTCGCCGCTGAACGATTTCTCTTGCAGCTTTCGTTTATTCGCGTCTCCCCTAGATCGATATCGGGCCCACGGCCAGCCAAGTTGTCTCAATAAGCTCTTCAATTGGATCCATTCACGTCCGAAATCTTGATGTCATTGTTAGGCAGGCCTTGTTCCCTGCAGAAATATCGATGCTCGTTGAAAGGGCATTCTCTTCTTGGAAGACCGCCGTCCAATTACTCCGCCCGTAAATGGATGTTCGTGTCTCCCTAACGCCGCCGAGACAAGGCCCGGCGAGCGTGTTTACACCGAAATTTCGGACCCGTATCCCTCTGACCTGCTTAGGGCGAAATCTATTACAGAACGCATCGACGCGCACCGAAGTGCATTCCCGAAATTGATTTACGAGCGGAGGCTCGTCAGCCAGCTTCGACCTTCCAGTTCCGATGCCGCTGATCGATGCGCGAAATGGTGGTGCAAAGAGCTTGTGACCAGCGATGAGACAAATATCGCGTCGACACGTATCGATACCCACTTTATGATCTTTGATTACCCACCGAATCAAACGGAATCGATACCGTACAGTGGGTGAAGTTTCTATGAGAACTGTTCTCAACAAAAATTTATTCTTTGCTTCGCCGTTGTTAACCTCTTAGGCACGACTGAATTTTGCGCGGGAGAATACTGTTCTCTACACGAGTACATTGAAATGACACTGACGTATCAAAACAAAGATTGTACACTCTGTATATTGTTAACACTGTTATAAAACGTGTGAACGAAAATATGGAAACGATCACTTAATTGAAACAGTGAACGAGTGAGCCACTAGAGCGAGCCACTAGAGTGAGCCACTATAGCGGCGCATCGTGCCTAAGAGGTTAAACGTATCGTTAATAAAGTTTGTAGCGTTTATCGAGAGCAGTATTTGTTTAAGTAACTGACCAAAGATGAGAGAACGAAATAGTCGAGCAGAAGCGGCGCATGAACGTATCACCGTATCAGTTCTGCTTATTATTAGCGGGAGACACGATGCGCACATAAGTGCACGCGATGTCTCGTATGCTTTGTCCCGGAGACTCGTGTTCTCAGTCCGACGATGCACCTTCCGCGATAAAGCTGGAACAGTGCACGGTCGCGTTTCGTCGTCTTTCCGCGGTGTGATTGATGTGGGTTAACGTTAAACGCGACGTTAGACGTTAATCCCTTAATCCCTTAATCTCTGAATAGCTTTCTTATTTTAAATTGCTTCCATGGGTTTTCGAGGTAGCATTTCGCGCTGGAAAGCAGTGTGTGTCGGTGGGTCGGATTAAAATGGTCTGTTTGTTGACTTGTCAGACAATGGTGTTCTGCGATGTAGGTGCTTTGTCAAAAATATTTTCTGGTTTAGTGTTTAAGATGTGTTGTACTCGACGCTAGAACGGGTTTCGAATATACGTCATAGGGAATTTAGGGAAAATGTAACTGCTTCGATTTCTTTCGCGCGTAGCAGCTGTCGTTTTATTTGCTCCGGGGAACAATCGGATTTGCTGGTAGTAACAGGAGGTTTCAAGCGATCCCCCATCGGTTCTGCGTCTTATCACTCCCCGCGACGGATTACGCCTCGTAAACAATTTCGTTTTCCGGTCGAGCTATTTCCCTGGAGGTGAACGGCGGAAAACTGTGGGGGATAGGAACGGAAGAAATAAGGGGAACTGTTTTTCGATGGAAATTCGAGCATCGGGCTGCTAAGCAACCGACGGAACTCGCGCGTAAAGACTTCGTATCTCGACCGTCGGACGTTGAAACACGTTCGCAGGCCTCCTTATTTTCTCCTACGAACGAGCGTGTAACTTGCAAATCGGTACTAATATCGAGCGACCATTGAACACCGGAATAGAAAGTCGTATTTCTGGTTGCACGTTCTGTTAAGCAATTTAGAAATTATGATTATTCCAATAGGAATAATCGTTCCAATAAAGATTTATTAACTTTCCAAGATAAATAGTAAACTGTAGCGTGTAACTACAATCTATTGTAGCTTCAGGCGCCAATGCACCTAGGCCCGATCCTGATCGGTAGGAATGTGTTTGCTCGCTTCCTTGCTTCCTCGTTCGAGCAAATAATTCGTACGTCGTTATGCTATCAAATTACGACCGTTCCTTATGTAAAAATAATTAAACAACCGTTTCCTTGGTTGCTCTTTCAAGAAACCGTGCAGCGTTACGTATTAAAACTTTAATGAAAAGTTGATTTCATTAACAATCTGAATACAATTTTCTCAGTTTCTTAGGCTGTCTCTATTTGTACATAATAAATTACATTTCATAAAAAGTTACGTTTCGTTATCAAGTCTGGAAATTGCCTTTCCGGTTTCTTGTTGATGGAGCTCCGTGGATCATTATCATCCTCATTACATAACGGGAAAAATTGTAATAAGTTGAAGGAAAACGTTGATTAGAATTATTATTAGCATTGGAACTCGAAAGAAAATTTTACTTCAAAACTTTCGTCGTTAGAAAATTAAATTTAAGTACAGTAGAGAATTTGTTGTTTCTTGGTTGAAATAATGGTAATTGGCAATTTGGTATCCAAGAGGACGGGAGACACCAGTATCCACGGACACCGTGTACAACCAGGATCACTTTGATCACAGATCGAGGCTCCCAACGATATTGCATCGCGTTCGTAGCATATTCCGCGGGATATACGTCGAATAAGTTCGGTGGAACGATCATCGAACGAATCAGTTGCCTACGTTCAAGTTCCATTACGCGGTCGAATCGCCTGAAGCGGAGAACAAACAGCCTCTCCGCGGCAATTCGCCATCCCCGACCAATTGATCCTTCTGCGGAGTGCGTTTTCATAGAAACGGTGTCTGTTGGTTTTGCAGGTCGAGGCCGGTGACGTCATACTCAGGGTAAACGAAGTCGATGTCAACCGATTCAGTACTAAAGAAGGTAAGAAGACCGACCTGCTTTAGCGGCTCATGATATAATGCACGTTCGACGGAGTGCACTCGTTTCTCTCTTTCTCCACCCCCTCCCCTCTCCTCCTCACTGTCGGAAGTATCGCCTTTTCGTTCGCGATATCGCCTATCGAACGTTTGGGCGATTATGTATAATTTCGGAAATTTTTTGACAATTTTTTTCTTGCGATTATCATTCCCTTAATATACAGGGTGTTCAGCCACCACTGGAATAAATTTTTATGGGGGATTCTAGAGGCCAAAATAAGACGAAAATCAAAAATACCAATTTGTTGATGGAGGCTTTGTTAAAAAGTTATTAAAGTTCCGTCCGTACTGAATTTTTTTTCTCCAAAATGCGCAAGATTTCGGGGGTATGTCTGTTCACCAAAAATGATTGCAATTGACCCCCGCAACCGAAAATAATTTTTCCAAAACGATTTGAAATCTTTTTTTCCCGTCAAAAAATGTCACACCTTCCCGATTTTTTTTCTCCAAAATGCGCAAGATTTCGGTGGTATGTCTATTCACCAAAAATGATTGTAATTGACCCCCGCAACCGAAAATAATTTTTCCAAAACGATTTGAAATTCTTTTTTTCCGTCGAAAAATTTCACACCTTCTCGATTTTTTTTCTCCAAAATGCGCTAGATTTCGGGGGTATGTCTATTCACCAAAAATTATTGTAATTGACCCCCGCAACCGAAAATAATTTTTCCAAAACGATTTGAAATTCTTTTTTTCCGTCGAAAAATTTCACACCTTCTCCATTTTTTTTCTCGAAAATGCGCAATATTTCGGGGGTATGTCTATTCACCAAAAATGATTGCAATTGACCCCCGCAACCGAAAATAATTTTTCCAGAACGATTTGAAATTTTTGAATTTAATTGTTAATAACTTTTTAACGAAGCCTCCTTCAACAAATTGGTATTCTTGATTTTCGTCTTATTTTGACCTCTAGAATCCCCCATTAAAATTTTTTGCAGCGGTAGTCGAACACCCTGTATTATTTTTATAAATATTTAATTTATTAATGGATTAGTTTTCCCCAGTCAGTATTTTCAAGTTTAACGAAAACTTCGATAATTTACGATGTTCATTTCAATCTGGTCGCATTTGTCCCGTTGATGGGATTCAAAATGTTTCGTTTATTTCGTGTAGAAATTGGATAAAGTTAAGTGACACGGGAAATGGCCATCGAAATTGAACTGGATAACACGAAAGAAAATCAAATATGTAAGGACTCGGTCTGCTTCTTGAGATAAATCGCAAGTAGTCGTAGCATGTAATCATCATATTCAATTCCTAACCTCTTGATCTTCCATGTGCACATTTGTCGCGTAGAAAGTTTTTTGTGCCAACGATGTGTCAAATGACATACGCGACGACGAGAATAATTCATTTTATCTGCGGGCAATAAAGCTTCTAAGACTATGCAGTTCGAATAATTTTATAGGTTAATATTGAATTAATTTTGTTCTTTAATAGTTGCATAGTCGATGTAGAAACTTGTCAGAGTAGATCCTGTAGCATAGATTTCCCGATGTTAAATAATTTAAATAAAAAAAAAAATCTAAAAGTAACCTAAAAAAAGTTGATTAGTTTCCTGGTAGACACGTCCCTGAACGTGACGAAAACTCGAGCGAAATTACGGATAAAGTAGACAGTGAATTACGAGCCCGAACTTACAACTAATTTAAGTAAGAATTTAGTCGAGAGCGTTAGCGAATCACGGGGTTTGAAAGGAACGAGAAAAAAAGGAAAAGTTTACGAACGGCGGAGTTCGTTTCGCAGTTTGTTTCGTCTCGTCGAGGGTCTGGGTTCGTTAAACGAAACGGTGCACGCGTGAGTTTCCTAAACGAATTTCATTCGTTACGATCGCGTACGTGACGCATGTGGAAACGTTATATTCATCCGTGGAGGCCGGGCTCATTAGCACACGGAATCGCGAATTTTCTGACGGCTCCGTGGGCTGGATCCGCGACACGCACGCAAAATGGGGCGCTTGATTGGCCGCATTACCGCGGGGTCGCAGTGCATCAAATGAAATGACCCTTGGTTAATTTTATATCGACAATGCAGTTACTCCTTTCGCGGATCCGCTTTGAGCTCGATTTACGACGGGCGCAATAAAATTACGCACCCTCCACGCAACACCGAGTTCAACGTACACTCGCCGCCATAAATATCCGCGCACCTTGTAGATTTCGAATAATCAAGAACTAGTTATAACCTATTCATAAAACGTTCAGTTTCTCTTTATTTCAATCTCGATGTTCGAGCTCTTAAAATCATTAAAAATATCGCTTCATTTTGTACGGTGCAGCGACGAAAAATATTGACCAACACCGGGGGTTAAATAAATTAAATCTTGGCCGGGCGGAGATAATCGAATAACACGGCGAAGGCTCGGGGATATTTTTCTGGTCGAAAATATGGCGAGATATCCGGCACGTTCGTTTTATGATCGTCCGTAGGAAGCAAGAAGAGTCGCAAAGCCGCGTGGCTGGCTCTAAAGCTCCTGACCTATCGCAATTTCGCCTTCCTCGTATTTTCTCCGCCTCCTGTTTAATTTGACAAGCTCCGTGTCTCGGAGACAGACACGAAGCAGCATTTCGCTTCCGCGAATCGTGAAAACTTTGTGCCGCGTTTCATGCGCGCGACCGTTTTCTAAACACCATTTGGCAAGCGTGTGCACCGTGGTTTCTAACCTCTTATTATTTTCGTTACTAAAGATGACCATAGAAAGTTGCACGAAACGTTTAGAATCGTGTACATTTATCAGATTACTAACCCTTGGTAAAATTTAGCAAAACATTTTACTAATCTGGTCGATTCATTCGGTAAAATTCATATTGGAAATATCTCTAGAGTCTGGATAACTATTCGCCCGAATACATTCGTTGAATACTGTGCCTAATACTGGACGTCTCCAATGTCGTCTGTAACCGAATACTTTACTGTTTACGTCTGGCCTGCTGCTTTCGTACCTAACCTTGAACGATGCAACGCAGCATTTGGTTACTTTTATTTTCTATTGCAAAGTAAAACTGTGGATATTTGTTTGAAGCTACTAAATTCTGTTCCGGTAGAACAGGAACCTGATTTTGTATTAAGTTTAAATAATTAACTTTTATTTTTAATTGTTTGCAGTGTTTCATATTTTATTGTAGTTATTTTTGTCGCTTTATTGAATTTCCAAGGTACATAATGGTGCTTTTAAGAATAGTTCCAAACAGCTTTCGCTTGAAAGAAGCTTAGGCAGCATTATCCCTCAGAATTTGATGTGCCGAAACAGCGACGAAACTCGAGAACAAATTTGTCCTAGACAAGACTTTTAGCAAACCTTCGTCTATCCGAAAAACTCATAGACAAACTTAAAATAAATCCCTGACGAAAATTCGATGGAATTCAGTTTTCATTCTTCCAATTGTCAAATAAAAATTTATTCCATCGTGTTGTGTAACTATCAGTATCGTTACTATTGTTGTAATTAGTCAATAGATTTTCTAACGGACTAGCAGTTAAAGAACGACGATCGAAGTCTAGTAGTACGTTTGCAAGATCGCTGCCGGCGGGAAATTTTCATTGTGAACCCGTTACGACGCGAAATGTTCCGTCTGGAACGATTAACCTTTCGCTAAAATACGGACCAAACGGCGTTCTTTTTTTCCCCTCGGAGACGTAAAAGGGGTGGAATACCAAAAGCTTTCCACCTTAATCCACGATGGTAACCAGCCCGACCTATCTCAACTGCGACAGAACGTCTCTGAATTCCGCGGTCGTGAACACGCGACAGCTCGATCCGCGGTAATTCCCATTCCAGTCGGTTTTCCACCCACTTTCGCCGGTGGCTGGTCGCCCGGTTCTTTCGCGGCGGAACACTCGGTCCGTCGCTCTTACTTCTCCGTCTCTCTGTTCTCTCTCTCCTCACCCGTTCCGTTTTGTGTTTCAGTGCTGAAATGTCTGCGGCTCTCGTCGGACCCTGTCACCCTGAAGCTACGAAGGGGTAAGTGAAGTGCGCTGGCAAATTCTCTTATTCGCGTAAAGACCGCCGTTCAGTCGCCCACGCGCGTCGCGAGAAGTCATCGTCGGTGCTACGGGATCGTTCAAAAATAGCGTCGAGAAATATATTCTGCTCTCGTTAAAAAAAAAGGAGAAACGTTTGAAAGGTGCTATTGGGAAAAACAGTATCGGATAAGACGATATGTGTCTCCGAAACGAGGTGTTTGCGACCTAACCTCCAAAGGAAAAATTTGTTTCTTTTATGATCCTTCGTATCTCAAGTGTGGCAATTCTTTAATACATTCATCGATGTAACCTGTTAATAAACAACGCGATATGTATGATTACATATCTGGTATCTTGTAATTTATTTTCGCTTTTTATGTTTTATTTGAGAATAAAAATACTTACAGTTAGGGATTGTCAGGGATATATTGCAATCTTAATTTTGGTGTTAACGCAACAAGCAACAAACCTTGTCATATTTTATTCTATCGTGGAAGGAATTTGATGTTCATTGAAAACAGTCATGATATCGACTTCGGTTTAGGTTCTCATATCGATTCCGGCATCTATTAATATAATATCAGTTTTATAACCTCGTATTCCATCATCGATTCCGTACAAAAACCCGTAAATATGTAAATAATTAAATAAATAAGTTGAAATAGCCTTCGAAACTTTACATAAATTACAAGACTTTGGAAGAATGGACAGGAACGGACGGGAATGGACGGGAATCGGCGGGAAGCGATGGGATTGGCCGAGAATCGGCGGGAATCGATGGGATTGGCTGAGTATCAGCGGGAATCGAAGAGAATAGACAGGAATAGACAGGGATTGAATGGATTTCTTTTATTTGGTAGGGAATCGGTGGGAATGTATGGGATTGGTCGAGAATCGGCGGGAATCGATGGGATTGGCCGAGTATCAGCGGGAATCGAAGAGAATAGACAGGGATTGAATGTATTTCTTTTATTTGGTAGAGAATCGGTGGGAATCTATGGGATTGGTCGAGAATCGGCGGGAATCGATGGGATTGGCTGAGTATCAGCGGGAATCGAAGAGAATAGACAGGAATGGACAGGGATTGAATGCATTTCTCTTATTTGGTAGGCATTGATAATATACGATTGGAAGGTTGTTTCTCTTTTACTTGCCAATTAATTTTTATACTCGCGACATGCTTGGTCCCATCGCTATTAACACCAGGAACGGTGAAAGTACAGAGAGGGAAATCGCAAGAAGTATCGGACACGACGAACTGGTGTACCTTGCATTCTCAACGGTGCTTGCATTCCATCGATAAACGTCGTGCAATCGGAGTCGCGTGGGCGGTGAATTTCTTGGCCGGTTTTTCGAGAGTTGGGAACGTAACGAGCTTATCGTTGTAACGGTCAGAAATTCTCCGGCGTTTCTCGTGGTTCTACGCCGGAGAATCGATGGAATGTAGAAGAATAATATTATCAGGTTGAAATAATATTTTAAACGATCTTGAAACGTCTTTATCGCCTTCGTCTAAATTTTATTTATCCCTTTGATGTTACTCGGTCTCCGTGTACAACATATATTCAATAGTTTCGAACCAGCGTACTTCCTAAAATACATCCATTTTGTAGATTAAAACGGGACGTCTTTCAAACGTCATATTCCCATCAGATTATGGGTACATAACCTTGCTACACTTTTGCTCGCCATCTGACGGAGCGCCGGCGAACAAATATTGCATTCTGGCGGAAAGAAATGACCTTTGTTGTCCATCTGTCTCTCGAGTCGCATCGAAATCGATAGATGGCATTCGGGCGGCGTCGCTGGGGCCAAATGCATTTAGGGGCTTTATCGTATTAAACAGTATTTCGGCAGTTGTATTATTCCCGGAACGATTCGAACCGCCCCGTCGAATTACACTTCCGTACAAGTTGAGCTATTCACTGTAAATACGCGGTACGTACAGTATCAGCGGACAGCTGGCCGTGTTGCGTGAGTGGAATCATTGTGTAAACTCGCCGCCGGGCCAGATACAACGGCGGTTTACAGAACCGTCGTGTGTCTACCCGATTTACACCGGATTATCGTTATCACTGCACGCGCACCTTGAATCCATTCGACGCTAGGCTTTCCCCTAGCAGCCAGGCTCTCTCGTCTAATGAAGTTCGAAACGTTGAACAACCTGCTGACCCCGTTAAATAATTACTCTATCAATTTAACGAACGAGGGGAACAAACTAGCGACACAGTTCGGCAACGCGAAGAAATTTATTCGAGAAGAACACTCGGCGACGAAACGTAGCCGGGAAAACAAATTTCTTCTTTTGCACGGAAGACACGTTTTCTTAACAAATTAAATTCATGCTCGTTAACGGTAAGGACGCCGAGTATCGTTAGGAAAATTGATGCTTAATGCGCATAATATGGAGAACGTGTAGTTAACATATTATCGATTGTCGGTTTACTAATCGGCTTTTCTCCGGCAGCGTTCAGTGACCGAACGTCGACTAATTGGCTTTTCTCAGTTCTGTGTGCGAACGGGATTCGCGGTGTCGGGGAAAGCGACGTATCGATTTAAAACGTGCATCGAATGCGAGGGAACGGTACCCCCGGTTGATTTAGTATGCACAAAGAGAAAAACGGGGAAACACAAACGATTTCGTTTACCAACTGTTTATTTATGCGTGATCGATCTTCGGCTTTCCGTCGAATAAATTGTAGTTTCCTGTTCGCCTTTCGAAATCAATAATTTGGAAGGAGAATATAATTTAACAAATAATTTTTAAGAATGGCGAGGCTGATACAACTCCAACGTTCGTGTCAGAGAATATAATCGATCATTTCCTCTGTTTAAACTTAACTTTTGTTTACCTCTAAACGCGTATCCCCAGATCACGCTGTCAGATAATATACTTTGGCAAACAATGGCGGCGGTGTACTAAATTTCTTTGGACGATCTATTGTTTCGTTTCTAGTGCTCATTAAACATGCCCTTATTCTATAGCGTGCAGTCGTTCCTCTGTTCCTAAACAAATAAATAAATTATACCTCGTCGCGTCGGCTGTTCAGCATAAAATACGAAGAAGAAAGTTGGTGCGTTCGAGTGAATCGTCGTCCCGTACAAGTCTATATACCGTGAAAGGTAAACTAATTGCAGTACGTGGTGTTGATTAACGACCTCGCGCCATGAGGTAATTTAATGACACAATGCCCGATTCCCTGTGGCCTTTTTTCCCCCGCAGCTGTGTGCCACGAGTTCCTAGAGGGCGCTAATCACAGGAGATAAGGTCGTGACAGATTAATCGTTCTCTAACAAAATTGAAAAATCGACCGAAAACGCCGCGAAGAATTGCAAACTGTACTACAATGGATTTTGAGAGACACAGATAACGTTCATTGACAACACTTAACGCATAGGTAGTAAAATGATCGTGCGATCGGCGATAACGCGAAATTATTAATTGGCGATTAATTTGTCATCCGTTGATACCTGGTTCGGTATAGATACCGGAGGTAATGATATATCGACACCACTTTTGAGATTTTAATCTTTTTATATTATCGTAAAAGAGCTTAGTAGCCCAGCAAATTATTTTCCAAACGAAATATCAAAAGAATCCAGTCGGTTGGATTTTCAGGCCCCTCAGTTTACGAATGCAGATGATCGATAATCGAGAAATGAATTTCCGTTTGATCGAGACGCCGGATAATCAGCGTCGAGATAATCGACCTTCCACCGTACTATTACTTTCATTCGCATATAATGCTTACATTCAGAGTGTTAACGACTTCCTCTCACACCAATTACGCAAATTACGTATCAAACCGTAAATCATAATAAATTCCGCATTATGATCCAATCATCGTGCATTATTCCAAAGGGGGGGGGAGAGGAGAATATTTTCCAAGCTTGAATCAAAGTGTTACGTCGTTCACCGTCGCCATATTCCCGTAGACCGTGAGCAATCAATGAGTCACTCTGATAGAAAATTGTTTGTTATCTGAACGTTTGATCGTTGGCTCGTGCGCTTAATTGCGCGCCCTCGACACTCTCCCTTTTTTTCCAAGCACGCGTGAACAACGACGCGGCGGCGGGCGTCGCTTTAGACACCGACGGTACCGCAGACCAAGGTAAAAGCGTCACGTCGAGCATACGCGATGGTGTTTTCTATGGGTTATTATAGCGTAATTCTATTATTACTATCAGGTTCAAGAGCGCCTATACGCGTCCAGTGTGTTCTATCATTAGATCGGAATCGCGCGAGAGTTCAGTCACCAGCGATGTTTGCGTTGCTGGCGACGGGATCGAGTACAATATACACGCGTGCGCGACAGCATCACGACGCATATACAATTTATAACTAAATGTATTTTTGGTAGGGACGAAACACCCGAATTAACGGGCTGTAGGAAACCTTGTGTTCGTTAATGGAACCAAGGATAAAAGTTCCCTCTGCGATATAAAAAAAAGGTGCATTTATTTTATTTACGGACGAAAGTGTTCCGAAAAAACCGCATCGGTTTTATGTAGGTTTACGGCCTATAGAATATGTGTCAGTGACAAACGCCCGAACGTGTTATTCTTCTCGATGCGAGAGCAGATAAGGTCGCAGCGTCGTCGCTCGATTCCACGAAGTAAACGTCAACACTCGGCGACCGTGTCGGTCACAGCACGGCCTCGCGACGCAGAACGTTTGTGCATTATTGCACGTGCTCGTTCGTCGTTTCTCCGTCGTTCGTAAATCGCGTTTCGCTGACCAGAGGCCGGTCGGGTCCCCGCGGGAATCGAACTTATTTTCCACGCTTCGTGTCTTCCTGGCCAGAGCTCTCGCCCCCCGCCCCCTCCCACGGTCCCGCGACGCGGAAAGTTTTCTTTGGCGCGTTTGCTTTGCACGGTACGCGCGCTTTGAAGTCCTCCACGCGCCGGCAATAAATTTTCCTCGCCGCGGAGAGCGAAACAGCCGGCTGCGGCGGCTTTTTAATCAGACCTCCGCGTATAGCCGAAAGACCTGTCCCAGTTATTCCTTTCTGCTCGCTGAAAATACACTCTCGCGCCGCCGCCGCCGCGAGTCTCTCACCGGCCACGGCCGGCCCATGCATTTCGCGGTCGAGATACGCAACGAGATTGCCAACGGGGAACGAGAGAGACGGCGAGCCCAACGGCGGTGGAATTTCCGACGCCTTCCGCGCCGGAAGACTTTTGTCTTAAAAAATACGGACGTTTCGACGCGGTCTCCGCGGCGCATTAGCGAAAAAGGGGGATATTCGCGAATAGGGTTGCGGACTTTCGAGCTACGCGACGTGTATGGAGATTCAAGAGCGATTGTTGACGGCCGGAATTGGAAGTCTAATTGGAAGGAGGGTTGCGTCGAGCGACCAGAATCGATTTTGTTTTCCCGCGAATGTTTGTCAGACGCTCATACGGCACGCGTATTTTACTTTTTCCACCTACAACAAAGAACATTTTTTTACGAAGAAACACTTTAACATTTTATGGAAAATTAATTTTAACCCTTTGGATACGGGATCCGTACGATCTATAGGTTACTTATAGCAATAATTGCATAAACCTCGATACTTGCAATGGAAGAATCGAGGTTCGTGCAGTTATCGGGGTAAGTAATCCGATATGTAATCTGCTTACATAATATAGTACGAGCCAATTCAATTTCCTATAGCCGGAGACTGCTATTGTGTAAGCATGTAATACGAGATTAAATCAGGTCTATTCGATTTCATATAACCGGGGAGGACATCGTTTCTATTCCGCGAATTAACTTCTTTTCTACATTATACCATATTTGATTGGTCAGACACCCAACTGTGGAACCATTTAAGTCCATTTTTGAAAGAATGAGATATCACGTAATTCATGCTTGATTTAATGTAAATTTTTTATGTTTAATTTTTAAAAAAATTCCCATGTTTTGTACAATTAAAAATTGGCCGGTAAATGAAATTGCATAATCATCGATTATGAAAGTGGTGTACTATTACATTAGATGTTACAGAAAATAAGTAAAATTGAAAACAAGTGGAACACGAGCAGTAGATATTTCTCTATTTTACTGTCTATCTCGTGCAGATATAGTAGTCGTGTTTTCTCGTTTCTCCACTGGCGATCCTAGTAATAGACAACTTAAGTATATTGAGAAGCACTGTCACAAAACAATTACACGTAATTCTTTCGAGCGATTCGTTTTATCGACGGACAGAAAATTCGCCTTTGCCAAAGCCCAGATAAGATAACGTCGTTTGTTTTCACAGATCCTGGAATAAAAGCGCATGTACGCCGTTTGCTGTCGCCTGGCCAGCCGGTCTGCGACGAGACCGACTCCCCGAAGATTTCGCACGAGGCGACAACCCTCGCGAGTAACACCAGGGCCGTGACGTCTGGTAACGGCGAGAACACGGAACCGGGAAAGCCTGGAACGCCGGAACTGCCGGGTGGTTCGCTCCAGGAACCGAGTGGCGCGACGCAATATGCGACCAGAAGCAACGGTTCCTACAGCGACGCGTCCGGTTCTTCCGAGCTGGAGGCGCTTCTTCCGCCGGTCGACAGTTTCAAAGAGGAAGAACGAGCCCAATGGGAGCCTCTCTCTGGCGATAAGTTCACCAGACAGAAGAACACGCCTAGGTACGTGGCCTTTTGTCGATCCCGGGACCGCGAAACGAGACTGATGTTGAAACGAGCATTCTCGTCTCGATGTTGCGCCTTCAGCCGCAACGGACCGAATCACCTTTGTAAACTGGCTTACGAGACGCTTTTAAAGATAGGAGTTTAGTTTGCTTTCGGGCGTGTACCGAGTCGGGCGAATTTTTACTCGTAATATCGAACGATAAGAAGATACTAACAGTTCACGAATAAATTTTAGCTATGGGACGATACTGGTTAGTACGGGCGAATTTTTAGCCCTTCTTTTAGGTTAGAATTCACGCGAATTGTATTTTATTCGTTGTTCGTTGAATGTAAATCACTTTGAACATTTTTACGTACGTGTCGTGACTTGCGAGCAGGCGATTCGCGATTAAAGGATTTACCAAGTTAAATGTTACAATTTCAATGCAGGTTCGAAGCGTACATGATGACCGGCGACCTGATGCTGAACCTGTCGCGCACCCAGCAGAGCACCGGCCTGTTACCGAAGCACCAGAAGAAGGTCGACTCGCTGAGGTACAACAATCATCACACCCACCATCACCATAATCACCACAATCACCATCATCATAACTCGGTACCTACCAGTCCTAACGAGATGCTGGGCCATCACCGTGCTTACAAGTGCACCGGTTCGAACTCGGCCAGCACCTCCCCGGTCGGGATCAGCAAACGCGAGAGCGTCCAGTGCCCGGGCCAGAGCGACGCGAACAAACCGAACGCCGCTAGTTTCGGTTACTCGAGCGGATTCGTGCGCACCTCGCGCTCCGAGGATCATTTGCAATTCCAAAAGGACCCGTCGATGAGCGCGGTGGACATTGACATTGACGACGACGTCACGTCCAGCCTGAACACACTGTTGGACACGCGGCCGGACAGCGGCCAGGGCCTGTCCAGCGAGCGGATCGTATGGACGTACAACGCGCCCGTCAGCTCGCCGTCCGCCTCGGAGCGCACCTCGTGCTGCCAAAACGGCAGCTCGTCGCAGTCCTCGTCGAGTAACTCCTCGACAGAGGGCACTAGTCCCCAGAGATCCTTATCGCCGGCCTCCCCTACCTCGGTCTCGTCCTCCGTCATGTCCTCCAATTCTGGATCCCGTAGGTTCCCACCGCCGGTACCCACGGGCACCACCGCGACAGCCCTGGGCCCCTCCGGCGACGGGACCACGTCCTCGGCCTCCGGGCTTCATCCCACCAACGGTGACCTCAGCCAGTCCGAGGCCATCAGCAACATGTCCAGTCCCGACTACAACGACGAGGAGACTATGGACATACTCAGTGCCCGCGATATCATGATGGTCAGTGATCCGAGTGACAGTGACTCGACGATACTGGCCAGCGAGCCGCCCCAGAGGAGGCTCAAGACCAACGCGCAGACGAGCAACGCGTACGCGGCCGCGCAGGACGCTACCGAGCACAGGATAGTGATACAGGTGAAAGGACCGGACAAGGACGCCGTGTCCGCGAGGAACACCAGCCCCAGGCAGAACAGGCGACGCGGGAACCCCGGCAATGCCGACCTGGTACCCACCTCCACCGCTCAGAACACCGTGCAGCGGTCAGCCACCACTGTCGCTGGCAACGTTACCCCTGAATTCGTTGGATATCAGGTAGCACACTTAGGGTTCTTCTTAAGTTAAGTTTTGTCCTGCGAAAAGCTATTGTTATTCTTTGATAACACTATCGCAAAGATTTCACTGAGAAGAAAGATTGTTATTAAACGGTGAAGTACCGATACGCGCGCGTGTGTCACCGCTTTGAAGTTTCGGTCACCGAACGATAAGATACGCATGATCGAATCTCTGTCTCGATCGCTGCTGCTGATAATCAAACCGCATCTCTGTCTCTCTCTCTCTTTTGGTGCTGTATCCTATTCATTCTATTGTTTGAGCAGTCTTTTTCTGAGTTTGACAAAGTGCGCCAATTAGCATTCCATTGATTTGGTATTGTATAGGTTTGAATTGCGCCTGGCGCTACGCCATGATGAAGATAATGTAAATGTTTGTAATTTATAATTATACGATTGATTGAGAAGTCAGTTTGAAGTAGCAGAGTTAATTTTATAGAGCATTCGTGAAATAGTTGTGGATAATGAGCTCATTCTTGATAATAGCTTAACATATTTTATGTACTGATAATTTGTCCATGCGAATTGTTGGGAATTCGATCGTGCACATTGTAAAATTAATGATATAAAATTAATTGGGTACTCAAGACCATTAAGAGACTGTTCTCACAATACCGATTGTCTACCTTCGCCATGTCGTTTGGCCACTCCCACTGTGCCGTTTGGCTACTCCCACCATGCTGGTTGACGAACCCGCTTCTGTATGCAACCCCTACCATAAAATTAGAAACACGTGCAACGTTGTCCACGGTAGGGGACGTAGCCTTGAACAATCAGTCCAGTTTAGTTCGACCAAACGTTGAATCTAACGACTTGGTTCAAAGAACAGAACGATTTTTACATCTAAATATATGCTATAGGAGTTGAAGGAGAGCGAGGACGAGAAGGAAGCACTGAACATCTGCAACTACGACGAAAGGCACAGCGGCGCGTCGCCGCCTCAGTCAGCCGACGAAGAAAGTGACATCGAAAGTCTGCACAGCTTCCATTACAGCCCGAAAGCGGTGGACCTGCCATCGGCGATTCGATTGGCCAAAAGGCTGTACTCTTTGGACGGGTTCAAAAAGTCTGACGTCTCTAGACACCTTAGCAAAAAGTACGCGACACACCGTGTCAGAATCTGATCTATCTGTTCCCGAGTTGTCATAGTTTTGTAGGGTTGATTCTTTTTTTTTTTTTGTTTTAGCAACGATTTTAGTACAGCTGTAGCCGAAGAATACTTGAGATACTTCAGCTTCGATCAGGACACGCTGGACGTGGCTCTCAGAAAGTTCCTTGCCCAATTCTCTTTGACAGGGGAGACCCAAGAGAGAGAAAGGGTGCTTATACATTTCTCCAAAAGATTTCTCGATTGCAACCCGGGCGCTTTCAATTCTCAGGGTAAGCGGTTACGTTGTCCCAAGTGGATGGAGCTGGGAAACGTCACTTTTCCACTCCACGGCTCGAATTAACGTTTCAGACGCTGTTCATACCTTAACTTGTGCTATAATGCTGCTCAATACGGATCTACACGGTCAAAATATCGGCAGGAAAATGTCGTGTAACGAATTTATAGAGAACCTCTCGGAACTGAACGATGGTGATAATTTTCCCAGGGAGGTGCTGAAGCAGCTTTACAACGCTATTAAATCGTTCCCCTTAGAATGGGCCTTGTAAGTTGTATCAAAATATCAATTTCTGATTACTAAAAACACGATCGGTTCAACAGCGGACAAAGTCGTTCAATGATATATTTTTTGCCCAGGGATGAAGAAGGGGATGAAACGGCAAACCAAGCGATTCAACAGGGTGATGGTCCAGCGATATCTGGAACCGGCAATCCATTTCTCGACGTGCCAAATGTTACGGGTGCTACGGAGTTCAAGAAGGGTTACGTTATGCGGAAATGTTGCTACGATTCCAACGGGAAGAAAAGTAATTCTTGGAAATTTTGCTCAGAGAAAACTATAAGAAATTTAGATGATTTTTAATAAAATGATGGGTAATTTCTTCCTCAGCACCATTTGGGAAACGAGGATGGAAGATGTATTATTGTACATTGAGAGAACTTGTATTATATTTGCACAAAGACGAGCATGGCTTCCGTAACGATAGTTTACACAACGCGATACGCATTCACCATGCGTTGGCCACGAAGGCGTCCGACTACACGAAAAAGCAACACGTGTTCAGGTTACAGACTGCTGATCAAGCGGAGTATCTCTTCCAAACGAGGTAATCGCAGTTTAAAAAGTTTCGATAAGAGTATTGCAACGCGATAACGCTATCCGTTGGATTATATCAAGCGGAAAACTGACTTTATTTCCAGCGATTCCAAAGAACTACAATCATGGATCGACACGATTAATTTCGTGTGCGCGAGTTTCTCCTGCCAGCCGCTAGCAGGAGCTGTTGGCTCTCAACGAAAATTTCAACGACCTCTGCTCCCCTGCAGTCACACGAAATTATCTCCTGTGAGTAATATCGCGAGATAGAAAGCGTAAAGCAGAAAATTTTGACCGCGGCCACGAAACGAATATAATCTGTTTTCATTGTTTCTTTATTTACAAGCCTTCCTCTACTATCCCTGAAGCCAACTTCGTTCTCTAAGTTCTCATATCTTCAAAACGGAATACAGCATTGAAAACAGAAATTATACCCTTTTGGACACGAGATTAGAACCATCGTACAGAATCTAGTATATGTGTATAGCAAAACCGGTTTTCGTGCGTTTTCACCTTCCCAAGTGTTTAACTGACGGTTTCTTGGATTTTATGATCGTGTTGTTAGAGAGAACAGTTACGGGACCACGAGGAAAGGGTTAACAAATTAGAAGCTGAACTGGAGGAACACAGACGGCACCCACCCGAAAGAGGGGCGAAAGCTCTCACTGTACAGAACTATAAGGAAAAAGATGCATACTTGCATCACGAGGTAATTAATACACTTCTACTTTATATTTCTCCATTCTCGACACGTTAAGTAACTGGAGTGTATTAAAATTCTCCTGTATTTGAACAGTTATTCAATTGCTTATAAATTGCACCACTTAAAATAATTTCTATTTAACTCCACCGTCTCGTAATCAACACCTAGATGCAATGGATATTATTTTTTTTTTTTTTAATACCATCTTAATGAAAGGAAATAATTATTTAAACAAAACAAATATTACGTTTTCACGCTCTCCTGTCTAGGTACTTGATTTGAGCTTTAAAAAGTGGGGTTTAAGTATGGAACGAGTAAGATTAATTTTTATTTATTAAAGAATATGTCCGTGTGTAGAGCAGACGTCAGCATTGTCGTGTTCCCGTGTTACAGTTGAAGAGGTACAAGACGTACGCGTACTTGTTACGATCGAGGCTGGTGTTTGCAGAGGTGGAACCACCATTGGTGGAGAGCAGCATCGGCGAAGTGGACGAAGGAAGCGGGGCTCTGCTGAATTCCGAGGTGGCGTTAGTGCCACCGCCGGTTCCCGATCGACCAGCCATAAATAGGTACAGTTACAGGGCTGCCATTTACAACCGTAATCTGCTAAACGGTCAGGACTACGGCGGGGACATTGGTTGACGTGTGATGGGTGTCTTTTCAGCATGTGTGGTCTAATCTGACCTGCATACGCAGGCAGAAGCAACAGCTGAAATTTGGAAGAAATATTAACGAAAACCTAACGATGTATTCGACGCATCACTTGTTAAGTACTGTACTTTACCGTACCGTGTACTCACACTCTCTTTTAATATATTTAATCGTGATTTATCAGCGGCCATTAAAAACTGGTAGTGGTAGCATTCGTACGGCGCTATAGCACAGCAGCATTTCGATATCTCCATTGTTATTATTCGTACGGTATCGATTATTCTTTTCGCTGGTTTCCCTTCTTTGGATAATTCAATTTATTCATCGTCGCTCAAGTAATCACGTTTCTCGATAAGTTTTTATAACGATTCATCGATTCATTGAAGAGAAAGTTGCTGTCCTAAGCGCATATTCGAGACCGGTTAAAACAAAACTGGTGATTGGGTCCGGGTTCACACCTAAACTCAGCATAGTGTAAATGGTTCACTAATTGTACCCAGTAGATTGTTAAAGCGTTTAAAAAGACTTGACAAGGCCCGATTAAGATTCGTGCCTTGACTGAAGATAAGACCAGTTACGTATAGAACAATTCTATTAGACAAGATGGGTGTTCGAACGTTTACTAACGTAGCGAGGAATGGCTAGCTGTTAAACGTCGTTCAATTTATTTGAATGTAAGACTAACTGTATAAAAAAAAACAGCAACAGATGCATGTTTGTTAAGAAAAAAATAATGAAACTACGAGCAAAGTTTTTAATAACTGAACTGCTCTTTCTTAAATGTATTGTAAAATCCGATCTAATTATTCTGTATTAAAATTATAGTTGTATAGGCGTAACCTCTATTGACCGAGAAAAATTGTAAAATTCATTGATGCATAATATCTAATGGTTACTATGCACGGTACTTTGTTGCTATACCAAACTGTGTCTATCTTCGTACAAAATATCTTACTCGAGCATCCTTTCGTGCTTTTGGTTTCTGCTTTATGTTCGCTGCTAATATTTTATAACATAATCAACTAGCTTGTGTTGTATCACAGGATTGGTGGTTTTAAGGTAACATTGGCTTCTTTTGCTACTTTATAAAATTCATCAAAGAGCGAGTATGGGTGCATCTTTTTTTTTTTATGTTTGAGTGCTACGTACTGTTTAAGTGTAACAAACTGTTATCGAGTAACCCCGCGGTAACTGTAACTGTAACTGTAACTGTAACTGTAACTTCCAGACCTAATTTGATCATTGTCATCCAAAAGGGAGTAGATTTTTGTTTCACGGATAAATTTCGAGTAAAGATTTTAGAGTAGTTGATGTCGGAAGTGTAATGGAACAAGCAACGAGAGTGATATTTTGCAAAAAAACTTTACACAATGATGGATTCCAAAGTATCTTTATGTTTATTGTTGAGTATTTATTTAAACAGTTATCACGGCGAACGTGAAGGTTGAATTAAAATCGTTGAACAGATGTTTTTATTCTTTACAATAAAATTAATTAAGAGTACCGCGTTTGGTCGGAAACGCGTTTTCATTATCGAAGAGTTTAAATGTGCTCTGTCGACGACACAATCAAGAACGTCTTCTTGTTCGGTGTCTGTTTCTGCTGTTTAAGTTTTCGTTGTTGGTTCGCAACGAATACGATTACGCTAAGAGGGTAAGAGTTTAAATAATATGTTACGGAAGTTAAGACTGGATAAATATATACGCGCATATTTAAATTCGTTTTATGGCACTGTCAAATTGTGTATCAGCCACTTTACAATTGTAGATTGTACGATATATTTTTGTATTTGGTATATTTGTCGCGAATAGCTCGATCTATTCTATTTTATCTGCGTCCTCGATTTCTATATGTTGCAAGTCTGACGTTGTTCAGCTGACGAATTTTATCATTGCGACGAGGAGAGCCCATCGAGTCGTTCGTTGTACGTTTTTCTGTGATCGCGTTGTTTTGCGTTCTGTAAATTGGTTGATACGTCAACAAGCAAAAAAAAAAAAAGCGTCACTCGGTAGTCTATTAGTTAATGAAAACTATGTCGCGAGAGAAAGATCGTATCTTTCGTTTCTTATAAAAAAATTAATATTGCAGATAGGACTACGTAGGCCTCATAATTATTCTAATCACTGTTCTGACATTACGTTTAGATGCATAACAGTAGCAATTTATCGAAATTATTCTAGCCTTTTTAAAAACAACTATACAGTACCGTATATATATACATGTATGTATATACTGTGTACATATATACAGATATATGTATATGTATACGCATATAATTATTCTTGCATAAAAGTATTACGTAATAAGTCAAATGCTTTATCAAACGTTACAGCAGCTTTTAAAGAAAGAGTAACGGTTTAGAACTTTTAAATGGAGTTCGGATGTTTTTATTCCTACGCAGAATAGATACTTTCATACTGTTTTTACTTAACGAGATACAATTGTTTGATAACGTTCTAAGTTGCGTTTGATACACGAGGAATATTTAAGTATTTATTTCGAAGTAATTAGCCAAGGGTTTTTTATTCATTGACTTTCTATATATGTTTCCAAACTGTTTAAACGTTGAATGAAAGGCTTATATGCACTGAAAAAAAGAGCGTTTGTAAGTATTACATAATTATTTTATGCCAAAATGTTCTGAATCTAATAAAACGACAGTGTACTCTTGGGAATCCAATATTAGGGCCCATCTAATTTCTTTCCTTTCGATTTAAGAATGAATCAAAACCTACAGTTTTCAGTGGTTACATTGAATGACATTCATCTAGCGGTTTTAGTACAACTTTTTTTTTTTTTAGTGTAACTTGCAAGTATTTTTTTTAGTGCAGACGTTAAACGAACCTATTTGTTGGACTAGTCGAATTCTTGTAAATCGAGTTGCTGCCCAGTATCTAAGAATATATTAATTTAAACGTGTACCGGTAAATATATTTAATTACTTTTTATATTTTCATTGTAGCTAGTTGCTTCGATTATCCGTTTACTATTTTTATTAATACCATCCTTTTGTATCGTTCTCGAGAAGTCGTTCGCTACATCTAATCATAGTGTATACTAGACCCCTTGTACATAAAACTGTATTATATGTGGATAATATAATAATTATTATAAACTATATAATGCTAATGGCAATAAAGATAAACAGTCTCCAGATTACATAGATTCACAAGTTTCACATACGAATCCCAAAGTTTCAGATACCAGTAGGTATTCTCCTAACATGATATATGTATATATTATTATATATATATATATATATGTATACGCACTTGCATTTTGTTTTATGAAAGTTGCATGCAACACTTTCATATGTTACGTGTCATTAGGCATTTAGTGTAGTGTGCACAAATGCCTGCAGCTCTGTATACCTTCTGCACCATTAATTTTACGTTTCGTAATTAATTTTGTATGTACAGTAATTACTGTCATTACTTTTACTTTAATATTTTAAGTAAAACTTATGGCTGTTACGTGTACATTAAAAATTCCTAATAGAATTTTTTCGTCAGAATTTTCATGAACCCATATTTTTCATTTGTACCATTGCTTGAAACAGTTCTTCGCAGTTTCACGACTAACACGAATTAGATTTGCATGGAATGCAACAAACTTGCTTTATTATCGATCTGAATGCATTAAATATTAATTTGTACTTCAGTGTCTAATTTCTATTACCAGGTTTTCAGCTGCAGACAATGTTGTACAAACGAGCATGAGTACCACACTGTCACACGTTAATACAATCGCAATTACGCATATGCAGAACCGTAAAATCGTAAAATTATACAATACAGAGTAAATTTATTTAAAAAACAAAATCACTTATTATATGCATTTAACTTTTTCAGTCTCTCTTTACACTTTATCATAGATTATACTTATCTGAATTCTTTGTAGACATATAATAAGATGCTTAATATTAATTTTCGTCATTACAAACTTATTACAGGTTGTGATTTCAATAAAAGATTTTTCTAAGATAATAAACGAAGTATGTATTATTAACTGATTTGAACAGCATTTCATCGAATGTTATTACCTTGCTCCAAAAGTATTATGTCTTCAAAGAGTTAAAATGTGTAAGCTATACAAAAAACAAATTGATTAACTCCAAAACAAACAATAGTAAGAAAAGAAATATGTTCATGAATCCATATTAATAGAAATTGGAGTTAGTCATATTGGACACTGAATGACTTTCTTTTTTTTTATAAAATTTGATACTTGAATGTGCACTCATGAAATGCATAAAAGGAGAAGTTTCTTTTTGTTTATTTTATTATGAAATTTAATTTATTCAAAACGTGAATAAACCGAAGCTTCTCTTGCATTATGTACGTTTATTAAATACTTGTATAATGATTATATTAATTTATTGCATGCAACAGGATTGAGCCAGTGTCAACGTGAACGAAGTCGACAGGTCATCGTCAAAACTGTTTCAACGTGCAACGAAATTACAATATATGTATATGTATAAGTTTAACAGTGAAAATTTATCAACAAATTTTCATTTCATAGGATGCTGTTTAATTCCTATATATCACGCCGATAGTCGTCGGTTTTCCTTGTTGGGAAAGAGGAATCATGTTGCATTGAAAGTATTGTCAAGTAAAATCTGTCGATGTATATGAATTTAAACCTTAGGTCATTTCGAGAATTCAACAAAATTACTTCCTAGAATTAATTGCAAGAGAGATTTCGTATTTAGGAGACTTCGATATTTTCTAGTGTTTTCGAGGTTATAACGACTAATGGTCATAAAATTGTCCGAGGAAACGGAATTACCATGAGATTATCGATCAAACAAGTTTATTACAAAGTAATTTTTAAATTCAGACACGCGTCAAGTTTTAATTACAATGTGGTACGTGTTGCTGTCGATTAAAACCTAACGAATAAGGGAAATTTACTAGTTGTTCGTTTTAAAGGGAAACAGCTCAGTGTTTCGCGAAATGTAACGATTCGAGGGTCTCCTACATCCATCGAGGAAACTTAATATTACATTAGGGAATTACCGTAAGATAATTTCACACGAATATACGTTGCATCTACGGAATTCGATAAACGCGTGAAGTTTGAGGACAAACTGCATGTATTGCATAAAGTGCGTGATAATTTATTGAAAAAATATTTGTTGACGCGTTAGTTAAAATACTCGATAAGTCCTCGCTAGATTTATTGTGTTAGAAATAATATACAGTATACGATCAACATCAAATGTATATGTTTAGAGCCGCAGTACCGATCAAGTATAAATTTGCGAAGCTGTTTTTTTTATAGTGGAAAATTTACAAACGCGATATTGTTGTCCGGATAATCGTAGTACACAAGCGCGTGCGTGTGTGTTCTTTTTTTTTTAAGCGTTGTACCTTGTTTTCGTACTTACTTTACGCTTAAGGTGATAATTACTTTCTTAATTGTACATATGTTACTTGTAACGTTAGATCGCCTTATAATTATATCGTGCATAAATGCCAAAGAATTGCATTTAAAATACACTTTGATTACAATGTATTTTTTACTCGCATTTACGTTCGTATATTCATCGATATCATTATTCGCTTTTTGATACTTTGTAATGTATTGCTCTCTCTCGCGTTTACACAATTTACGCGTCACGTTTACGAGATATGTGAAGTCACCCCGAAGTTTCCTTTATTTTCGCCTTTTGTCGCTTCCCTTCAATTGTATAATTGAATTGATCAAAGACTTGGTATAATTTGTCTCTGTGTAAACGAATCGCGACGCGTCCCTATAACCGACAAATCATTGTACATATTGTTTCAATTTCTTTGAATTCTTTCTCTTGTACTAATCGAAACTCCGAAGAACAACTGTGTACTTTCTGTACATGCGATATATTCCTTTGTAAATATTACTTTACGATTACGAAAATAAAATTGTGAACATGAAAAAATGCTTCCATCATTCTCAATTCGTGTCGAATAAAATAAATCAAGCACGTAGTACAAGTTTTACGAGAGGCAAATTTTATTTCTACATTTCTACATTATAAAACGATCTTGAAATTCTAATTAATGATATATATATATATATATATATATATATATATATACACATTACTTGTACATAAATCTACATAATTAATAATATAAAAGTTCTCGCAAGGAAGAATTACTCGATAATGGAAGAAAAATTGATATCTTTGACGAAATTTCTGGATAAATATACAAATATATTTCTTATTGCTACATCACCGAGAAACATATATATTTGCATTACAATATACAATTATATTAACATTCATCACGGAGAAAAGCTTTCGAACATTTGTGTATAGTTCATCGAAATCGAGAGATAATTGTTTCTTTTTTTTTTTTTCCTTTAATCTACCACACGATATAATAGATCGTATTACACGTAAAAGGTATTTACAAAAACGAAGGTATCAGTAGATTTTGTACGGATTTATTATCATATAATGAAATAGTTATAATTGTATATAATTCTAAATTAGATACTGTTACTTTACATAATTCATCCGGTGATTCAAAATAACATGGATCTCTACTTATGTACAGATACAGTGCAATGTATATGCAATAATAATTAATAAACGATTTATATTACAATATCGGTCAACTAAACCGTTGACTCTACTCAACATACAAAGATACAAACTTCCTGTATACATACACACGACCCATAAAATTTGTTTCGCAATTATTCCGTGTCGTGTCCTCGAGTGTGTCCGTAATATACAAGCGATCAATGTTCTATGTTTTGTAAAGTAAAACTAATATTGTACAACTTTGGAGGAATGTTGTGATGGCATAGCACCAACTTCACTATGAATCTCAATTAGTCAAACTGCAATGGCACTTTACAAATTAAATAATGTGTCTATCATATATATATATATATATATACATATACACGATATATATACATGGTATATATATATATATTTATACATTTATATATATTTATATATTTTTTTTCTTCATGTAAAACCTACCCAATAACGTAGTAACAATAACAACGGTGGATAGAGCTCTTTAGTTCATCCACTTGCGGCAGTTAGGCGCGCCACATGCGCATGCTATCTTGTGTTGGTCATCCTCGATATCGAATTTATAATCGTATGCCAGCTGTAACAAACCACGATGCGTTGTACAAATTTTTACGAGAAAAAGAATTGCAGGAAAGAGGGGTGGAGAAAAAAAAAAATAAATAGCAATATTCAAAGACCAACGTACCTCCTCGCCACGTGAGATTCTTCGCTTCGCAAAGATTATAATTCTAAGATCACGTTCGACTTCAACGATCTCAGCGACGCAATTCGGATTACAAGAGTGGTTGATGTACCTTGCGAGGCCCCCGCACAACGTTGCATCGACCACTCTCTCTTCGTCTAGGCGGAACATATAAATACCACGATTCTGTAACAGACGTTCCCAATGTTGCTTTCTGCCATTCAACAACAGTCAATCTAATAACGAATAAGAATACTCAGAGAGGTCACGGCGCACAGTTATCGAAAATCCAAAAAAGAATTGACCAAACGTGTCCTTCTCCAAACGTAAAAATCTTAGAAACAATAATAATGGACTCCTCGTGAGACTGCAGATTTCATGTACCTACTTACTGTGCAACTTTGTATCCTGTCTGGTGTCGGTTGAGAAGTATAGATTCAACTAATATTTAAGAACGTTATTTTGAGAAGAATTATACGTAGACGATACTTATACTTTTAGAATGAATATCAATACCAGTATCGTACAGTCGAGCAATGAATTTAGCCGTAACATCACGAAAATCCCTAATATCGATCCCAATAGATGCTCGATTCGACGTGGAAGGACCCATAGCCAAATGTCAATTAAATCAGATACAACGGTCGTAAGCATTTTGGCCAGCTATTTGGGATTTCCGATCACCGCGTCGTTTAGTGGGAAGAGGACGTACCCTTGCTTCGTATTGCTTCTCCCTGGTCTCAGCCAGCTCGGTGCGAATGATCTCTCCGATGTACTCGATGACCATAGTGTGCTTCTCCAAATCGCGGGCAGCGTACAATCCCAGTCCCTGTATCTTCGAGCGCGCCAAATAGACGTTGTTCCGCCACTCTTGCTTCATCTTCTTGTACTGCGAGCTCTTGGAATGAACGAACTGTTTCGAGTAGGGGCACGCCACCTCGCCGGCGACTGTCGCGGTCGGCACGAACGTCGCCCTGGCCGAGGAGCCTGTGCGCTGCGTGTGCGGCCTCTTCCACGGCAGCTGATTGCGCAGGCGAGCCTCGGTCCTAGCGCTGCCCGTGGGATTGATCGCCAACGGCAATTCCAACAGGGGGTTACGACCGTATTTGAATCTGTAATCGGTCAGGGTTTCGATGCCTGGAAGACTTTCGAGGACGCGAACGACCGCCGGCTCGGTCAGCCCGAACAGGTCCTCGCCGGATACGTAACGCGGAAATAGCTGGACGCTGTGCGTCGTTCTTCGCAGGTCGGATAGCGGCTCGAGGATTCTGCTCCAAACGGCGCGCGGCGTGGCGTCCCGTAGCTCGACGTCCTCTTGGAGGGGCTCTTGGACCAGCACCCGGAACTCGGGCCGGCCGGAAACGTCGTGAATGGAACAGACGTATCTGCATCGTTTGTTCGGCCTCCTCATGCTCCAATAGAACCTGACGATCTTGTATCCAACCGGGTAGATGTAGTTCGGTGTGTGAAAGTTGGCGAGCTGGTGCGGAAGTAGCTGTCCGACGCTTAAAAATATTAGGCTCCCGACCCTCAATAAATGATTGTGCTCCGAATGGTGCATCACAGCTGCGACTTGTCGGTTCTCGTCACGATTTACGTACACCCTTCTATACACGGATAGCGTCGTCAGCTCGTTATCTTTCTCGTTCTTTTGCACGTGTTGAGAGCAATAGGTACTCTGAAAAATTTCATTAAACGGTTCATGAGGTCCGTACACGTCCCGAGGGTTGAAAGAAACTCGAGCCGGGCAAAAGTACATTGGCTGCTCAAGGTTACCGAGGGGCTACCCTCGTTGTAAGATTTATTGCGGAGTGTTAAGAAAATATTGCGCACTCTTGTCGTCTTTGTTTTGAAATATAGGAACCAATATTATCGTTGATAGTCTCGTTTTACGCTAATTATGAAAGTATATATTTTATCTGTATGCAAACTTTGATTGGAAACAAAACAATAATTCTATAATTAAAACTATAATTCACCCAGTATACAGTCTAGATGAGGCATGCCAAGCACGCGGCCCGATCCATTAGATTTTGGGCCCCGTCACCTTGACTTTTACATTAAGAACAGCAAAACACCTGAAAGATCAAGATAAACTGATCAACACCTTTCTTCAGTGTAAAAAAAAAGACATCGGTTCAAGACTTTATATCAAATTTTGATGTTTTAGTGTCCGCAAAGCGGTGCCAAGTGTCTTAACAAAAAAAAAAAAAAGAAATAAACTTTTGTCTTAATGTAATGCGTTTGTTTAAAAGTGTATCGTTTTGTTCACTTCTGTTCGATCCATCGCATGTTTGTTTTTTGACATGACCGGTGTAATGATTAGTGTCGATATGACTGCGGCCTGCAATCTAGTAGCGAAGTGCAAATTGGCGCTCAATGATCAACAATAATGACGATATAGAACATAGGACGTGCGTAGATTTTTTGAATCCAATAAATCGACATAATATTGCAGAGGAATGGAATTGCTCTCATAATAATGGCAGAAGACCATACACCATTGTGTGCTTTGGGAATTGTTTTGTTGTAGCTAGCACTTGAAAAATTACGGTTTAGAAATGCGCAATATTTTCTGGGATAATCCTAATGCGATGGAAGATGTGGCCTTGAGCGGCCAAATTGAGTTTGAGTCGGCTCAATGTTGATGTTAAAGCAATTTTACCTTATTCTTATAAAAAACACAGCCATCTTTGACAGCGCAGCCAAGGTGGTACACGTTGGTGCAGCGCATTTTAAAACATTTTACTGTAGCTCCCGGCTTCTCGCAAACAATACAATTTAATACAAGACTATGTTGCAAAGCAGTATCGAGATTCATCAAGGCACCATTTACAGTTTCGTACACATCTTCCGACCAGAGGGCGCAATTCAAGTGCACCCACTTGTCGACGTCAAAATTAAGTAGCCTAGCGGGGCCATCGGCTGTACCGTCACCTTGATTGTGACAAAACATACATCGTCGACTGTCTTCCGCCTTAGCAGGTATAACCGTCACCCCCATACGGAAAAGCATCTGTACAACAAAACACATGTACCTTGATTATTTCGAACTTTGACCTGTTATCAATTTTATATTTAAAATTACTCGTGTCCGTACCTCCGTGATCTCTTTGTCGGTTGGTTTTTTATACTTTGTGTGAGGTTGCATCGAGCCAATAGTCCAACTTTTGTACCGTAAGCCTCTCCATACTTTAGCAGGTGGCTGGGGCTCGGTCGATTCGGTCGAGGATTCCTCCACGGCGGGATGTTTCTTCGACCTCTTTTCCTCCATTATTTCCTCCTTCATATCCGTGATATCGTGATCTTCCTTCTCAGTTTTTATTTTAATTTCAGACTCCTTCTCCACCTGATCAATTTCCATGCTTTCAACGGGCTCGATCGATTGTTTGATTACAAATTTCTTTCCCTTTTTAAAATCGTCGTCCAATATCTTACTGTCTATTTTATGACATAAATGATCTACTATGGTTGCAGCCTAAAGAAACAAATACGTATTAAATTATCGTATAGAAAATTATAAGGTACCTTTGTCATTACTTTGAATATTACGCTCACCTTATATTGCGTATTCGAGGGTGTTCTATGCATGAGGGCAAATTGCATGTAACAGGCTGCCGAACAGAAACATAATTCATCACCAGGCTCCGCTTCTTCCTTACTTAAAAATGGTAAGTCTGATACTTTCTTCCTTATTAAACTATTCAATATCACAACCTCGCAATGACGACAGAATTTGGCAGCGCCATTCAAAATACTTTGTATATCAATTGGAGCTGTAAAAGTCAATTCATCTTTAACTTTGTCCATTCCTGACAGCGCATCATTTTTATCCGAGCGACTGAGATGCATACCTCCCTCTTTACCATCTTTTCCCTTGGTTCTATAAAGACCTAATTTCTGACTAGGGGGAGTAGTGGTACGTTCTACTATCTGGTAACCAGTGGGAGGAGCTATGTTTAAAATATTAGCCAAGTCTTTAAGTACTCCCATTATGTCGTCTGCAGCCTGACTATTTAATGTTAATGTAACTGTTACGTTGCCATCTCTCAGAGGTATTGGAGGTGATTTTCCGAGTCTATATACAACAAAGTAAAATAGAAAGTGTTCTAAAAGTATTCTCAAGATTTCAAAGTATCTCTACAATGCGTACCTCGGTATTCCAAGATTTTCTTTATCTTGTTTAGCCGTATCTTTGACGTATGCCGGTTTGAGCCTGATCGGTATCGGGGATATCAAAGGTATCACAGGTGACACGCGTTTCAACCAGTCAGATTCCTCGTCCGACTCTTCTTCGATCAATCTCAAACCAGGGAATCGGTGTATGAACTCTGGGATAACGCATTCGGGTGAAGATGAACTGACTATTGTATCAGGAGAATCGACATCACGGTTTGCCAACAAAGAGTTCTCCTTCTTTTCATCGGCTGAAAATTTGATATTTATATTATAGATTTTTTTGTTTTATATAAAAAGTAAAACAAAAATAGCAAAGATGCTTACAATCGTCTAATTTAAGGGGTGGAAATTCTTGATCATAGAATCCTCTCTGTGTAGAAGCAGGCTGTTGAGGCGGTAAGGGTTCTAATTCACCGAATGGCTGTGTGTTATAGTGATCAGAGACACCCGGCAACGTAGCGGATCCGTACGAACCCACCAAATCTCCTGTCCTGGTGTTGTAATCTTTTTGGCTTCCAATTTTCGTCAAGTCTCCCGAGCCGAAGATAGGGCACACGCCATAATTTTTGCCTAGAAGGGGTTCTAATACTGCCATTGGCTGAAGTTGCCGCAACTGTGTCATTAAATTGTCAATAAACGTGTCGTAGTCCTCGTCCAAGCGAGACACCTTCCTGGCGCGCTTCTTCTGAGGCGCCGTCGCTGCGTCTTTCCCCTGGCTCTGTTTCCGTTTCTGTTGATATTGTCGCCTTTTCAACTTCTTGAGATCTGGAAACGAAGTGGCAACGTTGCATCGAAATTCTGTATTTCGAACAAATGCATTTTACGTACCAGTTTTGTCGTCAATCGATCCGTCGATAAGCTCCTCTTTGGCAGTAAGAAAGTCTTTGGTATCGGTTAATTGGGTAGGTGTACCACTAGATAGAACTTCGTCAAGAACTTCCTTTTTGACTTCCACTAAAGGCACTGTGTGTTGTGCATTCGCACCCTGTGACGCCTGGGCTTGGTGACCCACAGTATGAGACACCGTATGAGGCACTGATGGCGGTATTGTGTTTGCGTGTGGGGATGGCTGTTGCGTTGAAACAATGGACTTCGGGGTAACCGGTATTTGGGGCTGAGGTTGTTGCGTTTGCGGCTGGCTGGTGGTGACGGTCGTCAATGATTGCGCTACTTGGATGGAGCTGGGTGGTTGTTGCGTCGTGGACTGTATATTTTTACAAGCCACAGTGGTGATCACGGGTTTCGGTTGTTGCACGACTCGCGAAACGACCATGGGAGCCGACACGCATTGCTGTTGCACTGGAACATTGTTGTTGATGACGGAGTCGTTCGCAGGTTTCGCTGGCGGTTGAGTGCCAGCAGGTTCTTGTTTGATAGACGTGGTCGTGTCCGGCGGCTTCACCGTGAGCGGTAGCTGTTTGGTCATCGTGGTCGTGGACTGTTGGCTTCCTTGGTTCACTATAGGCGTGGTCTTCGTCGATTGTTGCGGCGTCGATTGTTGCTTGACGAAACTGTCGACCATGCGCTGCTGGGACAGAACTGGCGCGGCGGTTGACAACGGCGGAGGTGGTTTTGGTGGCTCTTCTTTGGTTGGTGGACTCTGCACCTTCAAAGGTGTCACTGTCTGCGATAGAAACGACGTCTCCCGGGCGAGGACTTGCTTGTTGCTGGAGATCTTGGGAGCTGGCACTTCGTTCAACAGAGGTGGTAAGACAGAAAATGGAGTGGGTGGTACTGGCCTGGCCAGCTGTGCCTCCAGAGACGGTACCAGTGGCAAACTCGGACCTTGAGAGGAACCAGAAGACATGGTAGTCGTAGCACACGCAGTGTTCTGCAACAACTGTTTCAGCAGTACGTTCTGCGACTCTTCCATCCTATGCGATCCAGCAGTACCTTTGCTCATGTCCATGTCGGCTCTGGCAGGTGGCTTTTCAAGCACGGATTGCGATTTACAGTTCGATTCCTCTTCCTTTTTCAACGGTGTACTCTGCGCTAGTCTCTCAAGATCGGTGTTCTTGTTATCCACCGCCAAATGGCCGGTTGGTTTGTATTGGCCCTGTCCAGACGTCAGCTGAGAATGCAAAAGAGTCGGCGTCTGTGACAGAGTGCTTTGCAGTATGCTGGTGGTCACGTTGATGCTGTTGGTACTCGAGGTGACTATAGGAGGTACAATCGTTCTGACGCACTGCATGGACGTGGTGACGGTGGTCGACGTAGCGTTGACAACAACTCGTGAGGGAGCAACGGAGATACCAGAGCTCACTTGCAGTATCGCCTGAAGACTCTGCGTGCGTTGCACCGAGGTTGCCATGACAGAACTCAATAAATTACTGGCTTGAGTAGGAGCGGTGTTCGTTCGATGGCCGGCGATCGTCGGTTTCGCTGAATTCGTCCCAGCCAACATGGCGTTCAGCATCGCGTTCGACGTGATGGAGATTCCTGAATTGGTCGGTGGCCTAGGGGTGATCACAGACGACGTTTGTAGGGAAAGGTTGTTGCTAGGCTGCGACTGCATCCCGCTGGAAGTGACTCGTAAAAATGGATCCGAAGGCGTGACCTTGCACAACGTAGAAACGACGCTTACTGTAGAATTTGTACTTTCCTTTGTATGCGGTGTATAACTAGTGGTCGTAGTCTCTAAATCGGCTTTGTTGGGCGTCGTCGAATGGGAAGTAGTCATGCACGTCTGCAGTCTAACGTTAGCATTGCTGTGCAGATTATTTACAGAATTTGGGGCGGGCGTGCTAGCGGTGGAGAGTATGTTTCCTACTTTCGGGCCAGAGATCGCGGACACCATCGTCACGATGGCTGTTTGATTCACCGTTGTGCAGTTCTGCGAGTGATTCGACTGCAGAGAGGAGAGCAACGTTCTTAACTGGTGCGACACGTTCGCGACGTTTGAAGTCAGCTCGGTGGGTTTCGACAGTGGCGAGAGATGAGGTACCGTTGTCGTGCACTTCTGCAGTTGCGCTATGGTGCTCACTACTAAAGGTGTGCTCTGTTGCGGAAGAGGAGAGCTTTTCTTCGGCGTTGGTTCTATGGGCGGCGAGCCGACCTTCCGAGACTTTGGTCCTTTGCTTTCATTCGACAACAGATGTTCGTTGTCTGAGTGTTCCTGTTCCAGGTCCATCAAGGAGTCCTGCAGTATATTCAAAGGCAAAGTATCCAACGGCGTTGGCAAATCGTACATCATACTTTTCCTGGATCTGTCTTCTTGAAGAATTTCGGTGTTGGCCATTTCTGGTTTGGATGATATTATATTATGCAACATGTCCAATATGTCGTCGGATGACTCGTCCATCATCTTCTCTTCGTTGAGACAGTGCTGCACGTACGGTTTACTGGGCTCGATGTCTGTACACAATTCGTCGTGCTTCTTCTCTTTTTGAAGTATGCTCATGGTGTTGTTGTCCGCGATAGTAGTCTCGATTTCCTTTGGCTTGTTGTTCATCCTTTGCGTTTCGGAGGCTGGCTCGTCCTTATTTTCGTTCTCGGTGGGTTCAGAGTCGTTTTCCAAAATGTTAACCAGCGACAAGTCATCCGTGACGGGAGATATCCTTTTCAACGACACGGCGTCCGTTTTGCTGTCCGCGCGAGAGTTTTCTCTGTTTATGGTGTTCTCAGCGGGATTATGAATCGCCTCGAGCATGCTCTCCAATTCGTCGGTTGTATTCAGGGGATCGTTCTTCTTGTCAGTGTCCGGCGTTGATTCCTGGCCTGCATTCGAACCAGAAACGTTGGAGCTCAGAGAGTCCACATTGTTCTCCTCCAAGTTCTTTCGCAAATTTGTTTCGTCCTTCTCAATTTTGACTTTCGTCTTTTCAAAAATATCCAGCTTATCTTTCGTCATCGCTACCGAGTTGCTGTTCTCCTTTTTGGGGAGGTCAGGTATCGACATTTTTGGCGTGAACAGCGTGACGGATGTTGGCTGCACGCTCAGAAGTAATTTCGTAGGATTACTGGACTCCACGCCACTGGTAGTATTCTGAACCAAACTGGTGAACACATTCTGCACGTTAGAGACAGTCGACGTCAATTTGTCGTGACTTTTTGAAACATCTATGTTCGATGTGCTGATCTTCTGCACAGACTCTGTCCTTGTATTCTGCTGCGATCCAACGCTGATGTTCTCCAACGCCGTCTGACTCAACTTGGCTGCGATCTTGGCGTCCGCGACGATGCTGGCCATCGTCGACGGCAACTGTTTCTTGTTGTTGAAAGAAGACACAGCATCTTTCGTCATGCTCAAAGTCGTGAATATTGCGGTCGGTTTAACAGCATCTGTTGACAACACATTGGAGGATGTGGTATTAACATTGCTGGTATTGATATTTGTGTTCCCAGGAGTGGAGGAGGCAACCGTCGACCTGCATATCGAAGACACGCCTATGTTCGCATGATGCACGCTGGATGGTGGCATTTGATTGTACAATAATTTCTCGGAGAAGAGAAATGGCGGGGGGCTTCTGTTCTGTTTTGATTCTTTCTGCGATTTTGATTGATCTTCCGCGACAGTCTCCGCGACTGCGTTCTCTTTCGGCGGGTCTGGAACATTGCTATTATCCTTTTCGATCTCGTCAGCGCACGACTCTTTGGACAAATTATCTTCCGGCGACTTTGTACTAGGATCGATGATCACCACTTCCGATTCGCTGACGAAGGAAACCATCAGATCTTGCTCCGGGGATTGGTCCATGTAGGATCCAGGCGACGGGTCCACTTGAAGCTCTTCTTGATCCGGCGACTCGGGTGTATCGGTCACTGCAACTAATTTTTTCCCGGATTGCAACGTCCTGACGATGTCTAACCGCAGACCCTTTTTGTTTCGCGCGTGAGAGGGCACCAAATCCTCGTCGCTGAGGATCGGTTCGTCGGTCTGAGACTCTGGATTCTCTATTTCTAATATTTGAACCAAATCGTGACCCTGGCTGCCTTCGTTGACTAACGCCTGACAGAGAGAATCGTTGCTATCGGCAGACAGATCTACGACCATCCCAGGTTCGAAAAGCACGTATTCCTCCTGTATGTCACCCTCCAGGGTCCCTGATATCACATCCACGAGCTCAGAATCCCCGAACTGATCTATCACAGTGATGTCGTCGCTATCTCGCTGCGCGGTTGAGCTCAACGTCACCTCCGTGTTCACTATAGTCTTATCGTCGTCATAATCCGTGGTGTCGGGAATAGGTTCCATTTTACTGCTCGGACTACCTAAAGTCAACGGCCCGTTATCCGACAACGACGTGGCCTGTTTGGTCTCCATAGCAGTTGGAGGTGTCTGTGGCGGCGTATGGGAATCATCGTCAAAGTCGTTATAATCAGCACACACCAGAGAATTTATTTTTGATTGCGGTATGCCAGTCTTTCTGTGCACCACCACAGAAGTGTTGGGTTTCTCGTCGAGGTTCAGCAGATGCGATTCCGAGGTTTTCCCCTTGCTGGTCTCCGCTTTCGTCGACCACATGGGCGAGCCACCCCTCAATCCAAGTTTAAAATATCCAAATCGACCGAAAGCATGCAAGAGTGGCAGTGGATTCAATGGATTATGAGGATTACCGCCTCCTCTGTTCGAATGTTCCGTTGAAGCAGTTTGTTCTTGCGGAAGCGGTTGCTGTTGATGCTGATGAGATTGTTGCAATTGCTGTTGCTGGTCATTGGTCACCGTGATGTTGCTGGAGGTCTGAGTCGTGTAAGAACCGTGCGGCGTGTGAGGTGTGTGCGGAGTGTGTGGCGGTCTTGGAGTCCCTGGGTTCTCTACGCTCTGTGGTCGATCGGGCATCGCTGGACTGTTGCCTGTGGACTGTCTTCTTTGCATTTGCATAGGCGATCCACCGACCATAGGACTCCTGGGCATGGGAGAACTAGGTGGTTGAGACGTTGGTGGATGGTGACTGCTATTTAGCTGATGCTGTAGCATCGGTGACGTCGAGGGATGACGAGACATGGGACTCGGTGGCTGGTATTGCGATATCATGGGCGAACTAGGTGGATGAGTATGAATCCTCGTGTTCATCGGACTAGGAGGCTGAGACGTTTGACTCAACTGTTGCTGAAGCATCGGCGAGCCCATGGTTTGTTGAACCATGGGACTGCGTGGCATGGGCGAACTCGGCGGTTGTCCGTAATTCTGCTGAATCTGTTGATGAAGCTGAGGACTCGGAGAGCTCGCCGGTTGAGAGACCATAGGAGAACTCGGTGGTTTTTGCATGGTGTGTTGCTGTTGTTGTTGCTGCTGTTGTTGCATCTGCAGAAACTGTTGCCTCTGTTGTTGCGCTATTTGCTGCTGCTGCTGCTGCTGTTGCAACAGTTGCTGCCTTTGTTGCGCCATCTGCAGCGTGCGCTGAGTGATCGTGTTCTGTCCATCTTGAAGAATCCCAGCTGTCTCGTGCTGTTGGATAATCTGCTGACGCTGAAGCATCTGTTGGTGTTGTTGACTTATCAAAGATTGCTGAGTAGGCTGAGGACTTCCTAATGGCGAACGTTGCCCGTATACGATTCCCCCTTGCAGCTGCATTCTGGGTCTTTGTCCAGGTTCGCCTACAGCTGGTGGACGGACAAAACGTTGCGTGAGACTGTGGACTCGGACTGCTTGGTCTCCGATGATCTGTTGCGTGCTTCGAGTGTCCGGCGTGAACGCGCCTGGACTCGTCGCCAGTCTTCCAGTGATAATTGCACGATGTTGAGGAGACGTCATTCGGGTAGCCGTAGGACCACACATCCCAGGCGATGGCATTGCACCGGGACTGAAAGGACTTTCTTCGTTCTGCGAATGTGGAGTTCCGATTCTAGGCGACTGTTGCATGTTGTGTGGCGACATCGTTCCTGGGTTTCCCGATTGCGGATTGCCAGGACTGTGTTGCAGCAACGGTGGATTTGGACTGTGCTGAATGATGGGAGTCGCTGGCGAATGCTGTATCATACTCGCAGGAACGTTCCCAGGTCCTGGACTTTGTGAAACAACAGCAGCTGGACTGTGCATCGGCGAGTGCTGAGAAGGAGACATCAACGGCGAACACGGTTCGCTACTCTGCTGTTGAGGCTGTCTTTGTTGCTGTTTGCTCTGATACTCCTGCACCAGCATCCCGTGCTGACGCGTTTGCTTGCGACTCGCGTCCAAGTGCTTTTGCAATATCGCCTGCTCGCTGGAAATACGCTGTAGCTCGGTTGCGTCATTCTCTGTCAATTCGTTCCCCGATTTGCGTAGCTGACGCTGCTTACTATTCAAGGACTGTAAAATTACGAGGGAATGTAACTGTAATGAATCCGCGTTCTGTGAAAACCGAAAAAAGAAAACACCGCAACAGAAAAATATTCTATCCTTACTTTTCGTATTTTACGCAGCTTTTGTACCTCAGTTTCGTAATACTTCAGTTGCTGTGACAACACTTGATGCTGATGGTTTAGCCACTGTTCGTATTGTAGCTGTGCTTGACGATCCTGTTCGTTCACAATATTCTCTGGTGGCGTGGGCGGAGCGGGAATCTGAGAAATATTAAATGTGGCAACCCTCGCTGTAACAAAAAAACATGAAACTCATTGTCCTTGTTCTTAATCCTTGATAGAGATTTTTAATAAAAATAATATTCGATATGGTTGTAGAAATAAAAGTACTGACGTTCAGGTGGTGTTTGTGTTGCGATCGGCTGCCTGGGTACTTGGGCTGCAAGTTTCGTTGCATCCGGGACTGGTTGCTGCCAACTGGTACCTGGAGCGGATGGTGGTCTTGGTGTACAAGCTGGCCTAATTACAGGAACTCCTCCAGGTACTGATGTAATTCCTTGTGGAGGAGAAGCAAGAGGTGCAGAACCCAAAACGTCTGCTCTAAATCTTTCAAACTCACTGTCACTGAGAAGAGGTCCTCCAGAACTTGTATTATCGCTTTGCTGTTGCTGCTGCTGCTGTTGTTGTTGCTGCTGCTGCTGTTGTTGTTGTTGCTGCTGCTGCTGCTGCTGCTGCTGTTGTTGTTGTTGTTGTTGTTGCTGCTGCTGCTGCTGCTGCTGCTTTTCTTGCTCGCGTTTCTCTTGTTCCAACAGTTCCTCCAGCAACAGTGGTTGTTCCTGTGACAATGACTACTGACAGCTTATCTAACTTTCAACCATTTAATAGATTCTTATAAATTCAAATAGAAAATGATTAAATGACTAATCTGTATATCAGAACCTTATTTTATTACATATTCGAACAAAGCACATTGATCGTTCTAACTAATAAAAAGATACGAACATGCAAATATATTACCCCTACGATCATTTTCATAAAAAATCATAAAACATTGTTAAGACAAAATAATAGTGCAGAAACATGAACGTAAATTGGGCTTCTTTTGTTCCGTATTTAAGCAAATATCAATAATACATTTATTGTCACGAAGCCAAATGTTTGTCCCTATTTATAGCATACATGCATACAAAAAAATGCAACATATTTTATTAATTGTTTAATGATACGTAGTAACTGTCAAGCGAAACCAATTACAATCCGAATCATCGAGTAATAATACATATATAACTATGAACTTCTTGTCTCATAAAAAATGACATCCTATCACTATATTTTAAGAATAATATAGACATAACTGTTGCTAAGAGTTGACTACTAACAAGGTAAAGAATAAATAAATTTATCGATGCACACGTTATAACGATGATCACAAGATCCATATCTAAAATATTGCATATTCATATTTCCCCTCATTTGGATAGTCTTACTATACAGAGTGCTCAACCAAAGGAAATACGAAATCAGAAGGTGCATTCATTAGTGCATTCATTTATTCTGTATTTAACAAATAAATATAGAACAGCACTCACTGTGGAGTACAATTTATGTTTGGAACTATGTAACATAGAATCAGATATTAATCATGTTGGACGTATTCTTAGAAAGGTTGAAAACCCTTGGTATAACTGATTCTAATGGAACATATACAATTTACAATTAAATACAGTCCTAACAACCATCAATTATAGAGTGGAAGTACCAAAACGGCTATGTGTCAAACAACAGTTCTCTGATTATGAAAATTTATTAATTCATTAATAAAATAAAAACTAAAACGACATCGACATTATTACAACAATAAGAGGAGAGAAGAAATTGTTATTTTAACGAAGGGCTTCCATAACTTTTTACATGTTTCCACTAGTGTACAATGGTTACTGTGTCAAAGATTTCATAAAGCATAAGTGACTTTTTTTGTGTGACGTCTAGGCACTTGGTCCTTTTCTAAACAGAAAAATTGCTCGTAGATAAGGGGACTGCTGACAGAATGGCTTTTTCTAGGCATTGGCAATGGCAGATAATAAATCTCAATCTTTCCAACTTTGGCATTTAGCCCCTTTGGTACTTCCATTCTACAATTGTACTGTACGCAAAGGGAAAAAAGTGGTGCACAGAGAATGGAAAATTGTTTAATTCTTGGTATCATTGCAGGTGATACTTTGTGCAGTATGCTGTAAATTCCCCAAGTCTTGCTCACCTGCAGAAGCAAGGGTCTTCGGTGAGGGTGAGGTGTCATTGCGGGCGTACCAGTATGTACCACAGGGGCCATCGGTGGACCTGCCACCGGCACTGGGTGCCCTATATGGACTGGGGGCCGCGTCATACCCCGCCCACCTGGGCACAGCCCCATCTAGACATGCACCAACACCAATGCATTGCAAACACCCAGGCCAAAACACCATTTTACCAGCCAATACTCTTATATTAAATAAATTACTTGCCTACACCTACGTTCATAGCAAAATTCGAAATCTCTTGCTCTCGCGCGTTATACTTTTCGTAAACAGAACTCGAAACCTCGTGTCACACAATTACGTAAATTCAAAGTACTACGAAGTTGCACGATTTTATAATGGTAGTACGATGTTATATGCTATGCTTGCATGATTATACATTCTTATTTATGTATAGACTTGAATTTAGATACAGCACATTACGAAACGTGTTATATACATTAATCTTTAGAACGAATGTTGGTAAAATTATCACGGGAAATTCTTTCTATACTCGTGTCATGTACTCCGTGATGTGTTTATCATTTGTCAGATTTGCGAGAAATTCAGCTTCTCGTGGTTAGAGGAGAAAGTGTTAGATATAATTTACGTAAAAATACTCAAGATTAAAGCGATGCAAAAATTTAAAAACATCGAGAATATGCGTGGCGCGTACAAACCTGTATGGGTCCTGGGTAAGGGGGCGGTGGTCCAGGATACGGAGGCGGTGGCGGCGGGGGCGGTGGCGCGAGGGGCATACGTGGACCGATCATGTGATTCACGGCTACCACTCGGCCAGCTACGTTCGGCACACCTGTTACTCTCATGCTCAAACGTTGCTGTTGAGACACTGCGATACAGAGATAACATCCAAATATTACGCTTTGCTTGGTTTCCTTGTTAGTCACAATGTTGTAACAACTCTCACCTTGGATATGTGTTTGAGGCATTCTCTGTGGATGGCCAGGGAATGTGGACGGATAACTAACAGTGACTGTGTTTGTCGACGTGACGACGCCAACTGCTCCATCAGGCGACAGCAACCGAGTACCTGGTGGCATAGGCCTGCCCATGGCCGCTGCTTGTTGCACATGCTGATGCATTTGTTGCTGCACAACGACAGCCTGAGCATGCGACTGAGGCATAATGGCGGATGGTTGTTGCGGTGTTTGAGACGTCGTGGTAATAGGCGGTACTGTCTGCGCTTGTGTCGGAGTATTTGACGTTTCTGTTGGCGTCTGCACGGTGGTCGTCGTACACGTGTCACTCATATCAGTGTGCACCGAGTTGGTCGCGCTCAATTCTGCCGGTTTTCGCTCCTCGTCCTTAACTTCTTTCTTTTGTTTCTCGTCCTTCGTCTCTACCTCGACTTGTTCTAAATCCAAGTCGAGTATATTTGTTTTCTCACCGCCGGTTATGTTGTCCAATTCGGGATCAGCGTATTCCAAAATATTAAAATCTGCTCCCATTTCAGCTGTAACGGGAAGTAAAACATGGAGCGTTCGAAATAAAATTTGTTTCAATTAATAATGCAAGTGTATCCTTACCAAGCAATTCGTCATCATCGTCGCCTAGATCTCCTAATATTGCACTCACGCCCTCGACCTCGACCATCGGTGCCCCTTCTTGCTCCAATTTTTCAAGTTCTGCCGTGACATTGTCCGGAATCTCTGACGGTTCCGAGGGACTGACAGTAGCTTCGCTAACCGTGGTTGGTATAAGAGGCGCTCTGACCATCCCTTGAGAACCTAACATTCTGATTCCTTGATTTAAATTATCCTGTGGCGTACGCACTATGCGTTGCGCTATATTTTGGCCCGGACTAGGATCTGGAAACCTTTGTTGTTGCAAGACGTCGTACGGTTCGGCGATAGAATTCCTAGCGGTTGGCATTCGCGTTTGCAACGTCTGACTCGCTTGAAAATGTTGCTGAGGTATAGGCGTAGCCATTTGCGGTCTTTGCAGCAGCATTCTGGTTCGTGGATCTATGTTCTGCACTCTGGCGTCTAAACTTGGTGCTACGGGATGTCTCGGGTTTATTCCTATGAACATCGAACAGCGACGGCAATAGGGCAAATATATTATTAATATAATAATGAGAACCTTAAGGTGGAACAAAATTGAAGAGAAACATACCGATTTGATTCCTTATCAAGACGTTTGGCTGAATAGGCATCCTGGGTCTAACGATACCAGGCGGAAGAGGATGTCTGAAAGTACCTTCACCGGGACTACTTGTTGTCTGAGTGTGTTGTGGAAGTTGTACATGAGCTGTTTCAAATTGCGGCTGATTGTTCTCCGAGTTGTTCGGACCGTCTGCAAAATTATTACGAATATATGTTTTAGAATTGGAAAAAAAATTCCGGGTCCTCGATTATATCCTTGTATACCTTGATTCCACGTAGGATTCACCGGTTCTATCTTCTTATTGAATTGCTGTCGTTGCAAAAGGTCGCGTAATTGCCTATTCACTTCTGGTTGTTGATTGAACACTTCAGGCTGCTGCGTGTCTTGCCGCGATTCTGGTCTTGGCGAGGAATAATTCGAAGCGGGGGAGGGTGTGGGGGGTTGACTACTATATGGATCAGGCGTACGAGATGGTGCATATACATGAGTAGAAGGACGAGTAGTAGGAGCATTAAAGATGGGCCGTGGAGTACCTGGAGGCTGGGAAAATACGTCGCTTCTGGGAGACGTGGAATACGAGGACGTGCCAGATATTTGCGACCTGGGCGTTTGGGAGCCTTGGGAATAAGCTTCGGTATTGTCGAAACGTTGAAAATGATCCTGAGATTGCGAAGAGGCTGGCGACTGCGGAAAATCATGAGGAGATTGCGGCGCTTGCGGGGAGAACGGCGAGGGGGGTTGCGTGAAATTATTTGGCATTCCAGGCCTGACCACAGTCCCGACTGGTCTTGTCATTGTCGCGCCCGCTTGGTTAGGCAAACGTGGTATGCCCTGATGTGGACTTTGAGGCACCAATCCTCGTGTAACCTTCACAGGTGGAGTGGCGAACGTGTTACGTGATCCAGGTGACGGTGACGCTAATGGTCCCATGTGATTACCATCCTAAAAAACAATTTCCATAGAATATTTACTCTCACCTTTTACCTAGGAAAACGTTCATGCAACCAACGAAAATGCTTCACCTGTGAAGTGGAGACCTGCAGCTGTGTTGTTAATCCTGTTGTATTGTCGGTATTTATTTGAGTTGTATTGTCTTCGCTTATTTGTCTATGAACTCTGGCGATAGCTGTTGAAGAAACATTTAAAAATTAAATGAAACCCCTTAATTGCATTATACTACACATATTAAGTATTACGTACCGTGCACACGTTGCTCGTGGATAACTTGTTGCTGCATCTGCGCTTGTTGTTGACGTAATGCTTGCAACTGTTTCCATTGACGTTCTTGTTCAGCTTCTCTACTCGAACGATCTCTATTGGAAAGTCTCTCTTGCTCCTGCCGAAAACAATTTTGTTAGACCTAAGAAATCAAGTACAAAGGAAGATCATTATATCCTTACAGCCATTGTTATTAGAACACATAGTAAGATTTACGAAATAGCAATAACATACTTATATTTCCAAATATTCAGCCACTTGATTAATGAAATAATTAAAGAATATAATGATCTGTTTTTTTTTCTTTGAAGCAATATAAAATATACAATAAGGCAAATTGACAGTCAGCCAAAAGTGTACTGTAAGTTTCAACATTCAGGTAAAATTGGCATGTTACTAAATTAATATAATTAGCGATATTTTAATGTTTCTGTTTGTGCAACACAGTTATAATAATGACCAGCCACCATCTAGAATACATGTTATATAATTAAAGATTTATAATAAAAAAAAGAAAACCTGCTTTACCACACAGAACACCCATAAACATTCATTTTAGATTAATTTTTAATAGTCGTCATGCACTGTACCGCTGAATATAGGAAAGTATATCATTTTTACTATTTTAATACATGTATAGGATTATTCTTTCTGTTACATATAAACCAAATAAAATGAAAAATAAAATTATTCCATGGCTTCTTTATGTTGGATAAATATATGTGAAATATTTTGCACAACTTGAATCGTAATAAAAATTATTCATGATATAATCTGTATTGTTAGCAACTAAAAAATTGTACTTTGTTATTAAATATTAATCGATATCAATAGGTATCTATTTAACTATAACACTATAAACGCAATAAGTAAGTGTAATAGTTTGTAGTACCAAAAGATGTAAAAGCATCTGGAAATGTAAAAAGCAACAAAAGTTAGTAAAACTGATTATAACATAGTTGTTGGACAGGAGATAACATACTACGTTGCAACAAATCTACCAGTAACTCATAACACAATTCACAAAAAGCAATATACTTATTTAAATACACAGGGAAGGGAAAACGTCATACTTCTTTTTTTACATTTTCGGAACATTGTGGATCAGGGATAAATAAAAAAATAATAATGTGCTACCAGTTGTCTTCGACATGCCATGTACAATGTAATAAAATTAGGCAAATAAAAAATTTGAAACGCTACGATCTAGAATAATATATGGCTATCTAATAAAATTAAGTGTATATATACACATATATATACATAATAAAAAGTGTCTGATCAATCAAAAAATATAATACATTTTAATTGTATGTAAATGCAACATGAAGTCAATCCGCTATTGCATAAAACCAATGTTCTGAAACACCATTCGCTCTATAAATAGCACAGTGGAGAACGGTATAAATGAACTGAATCGTTTGCTGTTTCAGATCACCGGGTAAGGACAACTAAACTATGAATGAAATCGTTCCAAGACATCGAACTATATTACATAACTCTAATGTTTCTGTTCTAGAAAAAGAAAAAACGGATAAAGGAGAACTAAATGTCGATCAGACACGTGGCACAAGGCAAGACACTAGAGGCACAGAATAGGTGGCTCACCATAGCCGGGGACTGTACAGGTACAGTGTGAATAATTGCAGTGGGTGGCGGATCGTAGTGCTCCTGGCTGAGGGAAGGGAGGGTGCGCATGATTTCAGATGGGGTGAGCACTCTAATCTGGTGGTCTACCGAGGATAATTGGCGAACAGGACCTACCCCCACCATAACGTTGGCAGTGGGGGATGGCTGAGAGATGCTCAGACTGTTAGCAATTGTACTGGTACTGATCGTAATGTGAGCAGGTGTGGGACGTTGCTGGGATGGTGACGTTTGATGCTGCCCTTCACCGGCGCCCGTGTTGCAGTAAGAAGAAGCAGTTGCTGATGTGCAAGGCGTGGCTGGCGACTGAGCTACTCTAGCCTGGCTACCGGTAATCTCTTGGTGCGCCAGGCTGTTAATGGAATTAATAGAATTCACAGAGCTGGGCCTGGGTGAAGAAGAAGGGGTCGTGGATGTTGGAGAAGGACTCGGGGAAGTAGATGTTAGCTGCTTCTGCGGTCCCTGCACCGCACACACCTCCGCATGATGATTACTGCTAGCTGTTGACACTGTCACCCCTGTTGCGGACACAGTCATTCCGTTCTTTTCCTGTGACTTTTCACTGCCCGCTGAGGTCAACAGTCCGATCTGCCTTTGGTTGGAGGCCATAGCTACTACTGGAGAAACTTGAGCTGATGTCATAGTTGTGACAGGTTTGGTGATGATGGTAGGTGCACTGGTTGCAGTGACTGGGGTCGTGCTTGGTATATCCTTGGATATCTGTCGGTTCAAGGGGTGCCTCGTTCACACACTTACGTTATAGTATTCATGGCTTACATATTTCCAAAATACATCATACAAAGGCAATAATTCTCCAAAGGATTCTAAGGAATTCGAAGGATACGCTATTAGAGGGAACTAACTTACAAGGGACACTAACCAACTGTTACCTGCCAACTTTAATGTAACTTTGCTTCCAGCTACAGTTGTCAGAACTATGTACTTGTTTACTAATGGCAGAGATTCATGTTTCGAGATCGAAATCAGCCATCAAAGTTAGGGTCGAATAACACAAAAATAAACAGAGATAGAAAAGAATGTTAAATATGAAATAATACAAGTAAATTGCCACCCGTAATTTAACATAGATTCTACTTAAGTCATATCACTTCTCATATAAAACCAATCTTTCATATTTATTACTTTTTTTTAAATTTCTATTTATCTTTGAGTTGTTCAACTTCCAATTTTCAAGAGTGATTTCATCCCTTAAACATGAATATCCATCGTTAAAAAATAGCACGCGTCGAATACAGTAGTGCCCACATAAGTGACCGCGGTTATCCCCCTTAGTGCCAGCTCTTTTCTTATCTCCATTGAATTCTGAGAAGTAACCGTGCCCACATAAATGACCGCGGCCATTTAAGCGGACACTACTATAGTTCCGACAACTTTATCTCCGTGCGAAGTTTCATTAAAATAGACGTATAACAGTTGCGTAATGTTCCTTGTTAGATTGGTATTCCTAAAGAATCAAATTAGCATCTACACTTCTAACGGAACATGATCTGACCGAAGGTATGGATATTGTTAGAAAAATCATGATCTGAATTTATGTAATCGGAGAGTAACGTTTCTATGCGTGTGTAATCAGATAATGTAATAACATTCATGATGGCGATGAACGTAACTAGGAAGCAATCGCATATGTTCATTATAAAACAGGTGTATAGTGTTGTACTTTAATGTAGTGTGTAACAATTCTAGGAAAAGGTATTTTAAATGCCAGTTAATGTAATTATTCATCGGGTTCCGTAAAATTGCGATGTATACTGTGTTCATGTTTGCACTTTATCTGGTTTCACGAGATGTAAAAAAATAATTGAAACCTTAACAGCTTTGAGTATAAGTATCGGACACAAAGGACAAGCTGTTAGTTTGACCTGTGTGTTAGCACAAGACATCTTTGAAGATGAAAATGGATACATATCACATAAAAGATTCACGCGTCTTTAGCACCTGTATCATTAATAGAACCTTTAGAAACTATTCCTACCTGTTGCGTCTTTTTCATACGAATCGCAGCTCTGTTATCCCGTGCGTATGTCAGATACGGGGCTTTCTTCTCGTTGGGCAGCGCGCGCCACTTCTTCAGTATTTGTTTGCATCTTTCTGGCCAAGCTTGAATAACAATGTTGAGTGTACGATTAATTAAACTAATTTTATACGAACAATGAATCGGATTAAATTATGTAACAGAGAAAATAATTACACATACCTGGATAATCCGTCTTCCACTCTGGGTGATTCATATTTGCATAGAGAACGGAGGATATAGTTGCCCCTCTACCTAAAGCTTCATCGGCTTCCATTTTAAGATTACTTCTTTGGTTGTATGAGATTGTGGTATTGCCTGCTGGCGCGGTGCCCTCGTCATCGGGATTGACCCACGGGCTTGGTGGTTCAGAGAAAGCAGGACTGAATTGTGGGCTACTGTATAACAAAAGATTCGAATATGTCAATTGAACACTGCATTAATCGAGCTTTTAATTTCATATTAAGATATAAATGCAAACATACTTGCTATACTCCGAATGATAGGGAGATGGAGGTGGGAAACTCATTGGAGAATTTAAGTTCGATTGACCAACGGAGGGTAGCGTGCCAGGTACTTGAGGTCTTGGTATAGGCATTGATGTTTGTATACCTGTAATCACCATATTAATTTTAATACATATACCGTACAACTGTATAATTAATCGATCGTATATTTACCAGGATGCGGCGAAGGAGATACGAGAGGCGTTGTAGAGGACGAATGATGCGGCGCCTGAGCTTGAACAGAAAAGACCGACGATTCTTGAGATTCTTGAGATTCATCGGTTAAAACCCCTTTGAATATCTCTTCGATGTCTTTGCTATCCATATTAGGTAATCCTAAAAAAGTTATAGTTATTTATATTGTATCTATTACAAACAATGAGGAGTAGGAATAACTTGTTAAATGTACCTGTATCTCTGACCATCGATTCCAAGTTGAAATGGGGACTAAGGATGTCTGTTAATTCATCTTTAGTCGGTCCTGGCGTGTCATCCAATTCATCCAATGCTTCGCTAGCTTTAGCTAAATCTTCGTCCGGTTCGTTCATGATGGTATTAACGAGATCACTATCCAGCAAGTCACCCGAAATGGGTAAGATGTCACCGAGGGCTTCTGTATCGCTATCATCGTCATCCATAATCTCCTCCCGTTTTATGGGAGTTTCTGTAGATATTTTGTCCTCTTCTTTCTCTTGCTTAGCTTTAACCTGTTCCATCGCTTTCAGCTCGTCTTGAGATAGCTGGATAGTATCTGCGTTTCCGGACACGTTACGCTCGCTATCCGATTCGCTGCTACTTTCCAGTTCCTTGTCTTTGGTCGTGTCCATAAGATCTTTGCCAAAGAATGCCTCTTGCATGTAGAGAGGAAAACATTCAGAAAGTTTTGTCTTTGGTTTTCTTCTCTGTGGTTTCCTGCGTGGTTTGTCGTCCGCCACATTCACCGTAGAGTCGGATGGTTTTTCGGGGTCTCCATCCTCCTCTTTGTCTTTACGAGTGCCTCTCAGTCTGACGATAAAACCTCCGATGCCTAATTTTTGCAAATTACGCTGTCGTTTGCGTCTCAGAATTGGTATACCATTTTCAGTCGTATAAATACTAAAACCTTCGGGCGGCGGTTGATCGCCACGCGGTGTCCACACCATGCCCTCCTTGAGCACCTCCGTTGGCTCGTCTTTAACATCAACTAAATCTAATTTACCTCCATTTTCTTCTAAAGAATTATCTAAACTGCCGCCAGCAACTACAGATTCTATAGTAGCCATTATGTCCGCCTCCTTGTCGATCAAAGGATGCATTTTTCTTCTTTTCTTTCTCGTTTGTTGATGCTCGGATGTCAATGATTTTATATGATTCATTCCAGCTTCGGATAGGTAGACACCATCGACCAAATATTGTTGGGAGGAAGGTTTGTACAATTCTGGGCTACGTGATGTTGGTGGTGGTGAACGGGGATACTTATTTGGTTGTGGTTTCGGTTGATTGCATAAAAGATGGGGCGGCGGTACATCTCTTGGACGACAAAGTATACAAATGTAACCTTCCTCCGCGCATTTCTCCGCCTCTGATTCAGTTTTAATCGCGTCGCACGTACAATGCAACCACCTTTCGCATTGGATGCATTGTATTATTAGATCTCCTTCGTTGTACGCGTCTTGACAAGATATACAGGCAGTATGAGATGCGCAGGGACCGCATTGGGTGTAATTTTTTTGCCAGCTACTATTAAATCCTGGATCGTTCGAGCCACATGTCTGACAGTGCGCGCACCACTTGCACTTCCAAGTACCGTGTGGCACATAATCCAGGGGTGGATCCATGCAGTAAATATGATAACTGATATCACAATCATCGCATAAAATCAAACGGCCCTCGTCATTCCTTTCACCGCAACCTTCGCATACTGTACAGTCAAGGCACCGCCAACCCTTTTGCAATATTATTTTAGTAACTTTGACATTCGCGCAGTAAGGGTGATAGCATTGACCACATTGCGCACAGGCAATTAAACACCCCTCTTGGTCAGTACCAATTGCACCACACATTACGCAGATATCTTGGGTCAATACAAATTTATCCTTTGCCGAACATAACACCAGTCTATTTTCAATGCCTGGTTCATCTTCCTTCGAAAATGAGTCCGACATTGGCCTCTGAAATAACAATAACAATTAGTTCGGAAAGGCCTTGTCATTTCTGTATACCAAGCTTTCAGTTTTAATTGAAAAAAAAGAAACAAATTAATTTGATTATTAAAACGCCATTAAAAAATAATTTGTGTTCTCTGGACGTTAAAGCAATATGCATCAAGCACGCGTTCATTTTGAAATGCAGCCTTAACTCTTGGATTGTTATCAGCTTCCGGCGCTTAGACGATCAGGTGATTGCGCGCAGCAAACATTCTAGGAGCACAACCATGCTTCCATACATACAAATTATTTCATTAATTTGTTCTCCGATGAGGAAAAATGAAAATTTAGCGTTTCGTCCAAGCAATGCTGCTGGGACTCGTTAGTAAGGATGATTTAGCGAACCTTGACGCAGACATAGCTAAATTTCGAACGAAAATTTGCTCAACCTTGAAGCTGGTACGAGATAAAAATCGATATATACAAGGTGTCCAGTGTTGCAAACGGCAATGTGGCCATTCTTCGAAAGTATAGAATAAAATTGATTCATCTTAACTAGTCTGAACCGGTTAAAACAAGCAATTCCGTGCCAACATCAATGTTTACAAACATAGTAATGACAAGCAACGAATAGACAAGTCATACCCGATCGTGGGTGTATCCGATGAATTTTTTATATTAATTATTTCAACAGCAAAGACTTGCATGAAAAAAACTTTATATAATATTTACTATTTATTTTCTCATTGAGGGAACACACAGATTTATATTGACATTCTGTACATAGCTTGCTGATAGTTAATTATTCACGTAGATATGCATCAGAAACTGTTAAGTTTAATTTATCATTAATGAGCAAAAATGGTTTCTGATGGTGCATTATTCATTTGAATAATTACCAGTGATCTATATATTGATTTTTATCTTCTGGCTTCAAGGCTGGGCGAATTTTCTATATTCGCCACCAGAGGGCTACTGTTCACGCTCTTAGTACCCTACTAAAAATTTAACTTAAGAATTTTACAGTCAGAGTTTTTTATGGGATCTATTTAATTTGATGTTAATGTGTGATTAAGAACGAAACAAAATGAAGAATAATGTATACCTGTAATCCTACACCAGGCACTCCGAAGATACCTCTCATTTTCGCTTTGGGGCCCCTTTTCCTTCCAAATTCAGTCATCTTCTGTCGCTTTTGGTATCCAAGTTTACCAATTCCTTTCGGTCGACCGATCAATCCACCGCCGAGTCCTAATCTTTTCTTTGCTATTTTGGACGCGCAGAACGGTTTCCCTTTCCCGAGACCTATAGAATACAGCGCTTCCTCTGATCCACCTTGATAATCGAATTCCGACGAATCCCCGTCACCGTACAGACTTTCTTGCGACGCACTTAAACTTAAATCTCCACTAAAATCCTCAATATTATCTTTCCTTTTTACAAGTGCCATGTTTTTGCAGTGCAGACAAATATATTCATAGTCGGGTTTAGCTTCCTTACGGTGTTGGTAAGTTAATGGATCAGCCTCAGGGTCACAGGTACCATGAACGAATTTTTTACATGCACTACATTGAACCATTTCTCTATACGCGGCGGCCCGATATGCCTTTCTACAAAGAGGACACGAAAAACCTTTGTTCCTTTGTTGGTAACACGAATCACATACGGTGTAATGAGAATGCCACCGCGATGAGAGACCAGCGCCGGGTGTACGCGAACCACAGTCTGTACATACACGGCAGCACTTACACTTCCAACCATATTTAGGTATAGATGTAACAATTGGTCGTAAACAACTAGGATGATACGCTTTTTCACAACGTTCACACAACATTACTTTCGAAACATCTTCTGGTTGACGGCACACTTGACATACTCTGCAAGATACACACTGCCAGCCAGACCGTACACCAGGCAGCAGTGCCAAACCAACACAACTGCCATGGTAGTGTTGGCCGCAGATGGAACACATTACTAGGTTGGAAACATCTCCCATCCCACAGCACTGCATACAAGTAATATCACCGTTCACTAGAACCAAATGCAACACATAAATATATACACTAAACTACTTACAAGGACCATTCACGAACCTGAATATTTCGAAAACTTTTCGAAAGTACCGTGTCTAAGTAGTATTTCTTTTTCTGCCATAATAGAATTAACAGAGTGAAAAAATATAGATCTCTCGTTTTTGTGGAATATTTCTAGAACGGTTCGGCATATTGAAAGAAATTTACCGAGTCATTCTTACTGACGAGTCAATTAGTCGGACGAAACGTAAATTTTTTATCTTTCAACCTTTTTCATTTGACGCTCTACATCATTAAACTAATACTATACTATATCGAAGACATTGTTATCAGAAAAAACATGAGGGATCTAACTTTTGTTTAAATTTTCAATAAAATTTTTTACCATACTAAAAATATTCTTCGCGAAAAAGAATCTGCATTTCTTTAAAGAAAATTTAATTTAAAAAATGTCCGGATTCGTGATCATTCCTTGTTACTTGACACGTTCACGCCGATTCGATTTAACTCTCGGGCTGCAATTTATTAAGTATGCGTACGTTTCTGAGAACAAATACAATTAACACTACAGAAGCACACGTCAATCGTTCATAACGACACAAACATCTACTCCCCAATTTTTCATGCCGCATCACCTGATAAATGCACGAGATCCGAAAGCGACGTGAACGTGTTAAAACGATTATCTACACACAAATATTATACAGAACTTACACAAAAGTGGAACCTGCCCCAAATGTTGACTACAAACGAGGGACAAGCTTTTTGTATCCTGGAAACAACTTGAAGCTGCAGCGCATGGTAAATGAAAATAACGATTGCACGATGCCACCTGTTTAAGAATAAAATTACAATTATGCGTCTAAACATATTTGCTTATATATATAATAATAGAAGAAGACTCTTACTTTGCAAGGAATTCCAGCTCCATAATGAGAACAATAAGCACAACGCCTTGACGAAGCCTGCACTATTGCCGGGCTTAACGCTTCTGTTGTTAAGTCTTGGGTATTGCTCGACCATACTGCGCACGATTGATGAATGTAATAGTGCCCAGTTGATTCGAATAATGTTCCTATTTCTGGTTCTTCTGAATACCCAACTATAGTTAATTCCTCCACTGGTTCCGTAAAATTTGTTAGACTAGTATTCCTACAGATTATTCAATTACGGTAATGCTAATAAGGAATATTTTTTTTTTATACGTATACATTTTTAGAACATAACAATACCTGCACTTAGCTAGACTCTTCTGCCGGCGGCAAGTCACAGCACCAGGACCTGCTGTACGCGGACTTTTGTCTCCAGTAGTTATATCAACAAGATGATCAGTTGTTTCGTCACGGTTAGTGGACTTTTCGGGGGTAAAACCTTCAGGGCAGGTAAATCTTAACAATTCACCCTGACCCAGTTGACTTCGTTCACCCAAATTACACAAAGCGCATACTTTCCCTGGCCTAAAGTAATGAATTGAAACCACATTAAAGTTACCGCATTGACCCAGCCGTCGCCAAAAGACATGACAAAGTAAAATATTAAATGTCCTTGCCATTGTTCTGGAAAATATGGTGGTTCTTCTGGTGCTGGCATACATCTCTCGGTGTTGGACGACTCTCCATCAGGCGTATCTTCACCGAGACGAAGAGGGCTTGGGGACTCTGAATGCGTGTCGTCATCTTTACTTTTAGTACGACGTGGTACACCTCTTGCATATCCAAGACTAAATAAGAACGAATTTATACAGTACACACGAAGTGCTTTGAAGTGGTTTAGTCTACGCGATACTAACCCTTTGCCCCTATTAGTCCCTCTTCCCAAAGATCTACGAGTGGTTCCACCGCGTGCAATTCCGGGTGGACGTTCTTTCCTAGGTCTACCTGGACCGCGCCTAATATTTAAAGGTTTACCTCCAGGAAGTGGAAATTTCGGGTACCGTAAAGGATCATGAAAAGCTTCATCCGGGGTTACTGCAAGAGAAACAAACTTTTGTGCTTCCTCTGAAATAATACAATTTTTGTAATGATATTCCGAACTGAGAATATTAAAAAGTAAGATGCAAAATGATATATGCTGTAATTTTTGTAATAATCAACAAGCCATATACGCACTGTTACCAGGAGTTGTTGGTACAGGGCCAAGCAATTGATCTGAATTTGCTGGAGAAACAGGAATTCCTGTTGTTTCTTCATCTTCATCTTCACCATCAGAAGCTTCGTCTAATTCCATTTCTTCCTCACCCTCAAGACGCTCTTCATCATCCATGGCACCTCTACTAGACCTGTGTTGCTATGTAGTCCTGGATATATAAAAGAAATGTTAATTTTGTTTTTATCTACAACAGAATATTTGTAGAAAAAATTTTATAGGGTCCTCCACAGATGCAGTACAGTATCCCTCGATTTACGCGGTTTAGGAGCAATTTTATTCAAAAAGAAAATATATATGTAATTATAGATGAATGTTTACACAATAGTTTGTATATATTTCAGAATATTTCAGAGACTAATTCTGAATCTCGACTTCCGCGGAACCAATTAATCGCGTAATTCGAGGGATACCTGTACTATCATGAAGGTGTAATTCTTCATAAAAAAAAATAATGTGTTCTATCTTCTGAATGACTTGTCTATCTAAACAAACAATTAGGATATTATTTTTAATACATTTAAAACCAGAATTGGAAGTTCCTACTGATAAAATAAAGAAAATTATAGAAATCAAACAATAATCTTCTCAATGTTTATAAACCTGATAATGTTCAGAAATGATACACATTTTAGCCAAGTGATATATGTAACAAATTTTAAAAATTAATTTTCTCAAACATAAGGCTTTGTCAGGCATATTTTTTTGTCTAAATTTTTCATTTAATTTTATCTACTTGTATTACATTTTACAGGAAACCCGTATAAATATAAAATCTATAAATCCACATGCATAAATAAGAAAAAATTTAACAAAAATTCATTTACCATTTCTTTGATATTGTCAATTTTTTCATCTCATTTAATTCTTTTTCTTAAATTCGCCTCTATGCACATGCATAATATCATATATTTTTAAAACATTATAGATTTTCTTAGTGTTGATTTTAAACACTGCACTTTTAATAAGTAAATAATAAATAATATTATTACATATGTTACACATAATATAAAGTATTTATATAACATGATAATTCAATAACACAACAGAAACTCATAAACATATGTCATATAAGAATATAAAATATAGATTGATTTTGACCTTGGCTATATCTCTTGACTCTTACAGTGTCTGCTTCCATGTTTTCAAATATAAAACACATAGATTTTTATTCATAAGGTTTTCTAGATATTAAAAATCATGGAACAAGTGGAAAGCAGTTGATTTTCCAATCGGATGTTTAATTTTCTCTAAAGATTAACTATATCTCCTTGAACATAACAAGTACACCTCTGAACTATTGCAAAGTGTCACCAAATGATACATTCTAGTCAACAGAAACATTTAATGAGCAATCAATCACACTTTAATTATTTTTTCTGAATGTTAGTACTGTGAATGTGATCATAATAAAATACTTGATTTTATTACATCAATATATCACGACTACAAACGCCTTAATTTTTACAAAATTGCAATTATTACGTAAATCGGCGTGTATCATAAATTTAGCAAAAGTTAAATAAAACTATTTCAGGAATGAAAATTCCGTAATTTTTGTGAAATCACGACAGTTAAATTGCGTATAAACGGTGTGCAAAACACATCGATCACTTCTTACGTGTCAATGCTTATTTCAACAACCGTGTTATAAATTCTCACGGCGAAGTTACTTTTCATAGAAAAAAAAACGGTTTCGCATAAAACTGCATTTCGCTGATAATAAAAACATTGACTCGTGTCTCGGTCCGAACTCACATAGCTTTTAATCTCTTTACAGTATAGAGCTCAGTCAGCTACAGCAGGATGGCGTGCCGCTCGGCAATCGGCGGTCACTCCACAGTGGGGAAAACCGAGGCACTATAATCACCGAAAAACGCCACTTTTCATCACCGAGAAACACAAATAGTCCTTGTCACCATGAGCCATGTCACCACATTCGAGGCGTCGTTTCTTCGGCGGATTCCCGCGTGCACAATTAACTTACGCTAAATAAAGCTGAGGACAATTTTGTTGGCACGGCCTTTACGGCGACAGTACGCCATTGCTATGTCAGAGTTTGCAGGCTATAAACATACCCGGGCCGCCCGTAACCACGCCGGATCACGTACCTTCCAGTTACTGTTGTCTCCTTAGCAGTTTCATGGCGGTTTTGCACGCGTAATTATCGGGATCCTCGTTGAAATTCGCACGGCTCATCCAAGTAAACATCTTGTAGTAACAGAAAAAAATGTCACAAGCTGCTTGAACGGAAGAGTACGCAACTGACGAAGCGCTAAAGTCACGGAGTCCGGATGTCGAACAAAGCCAGAGTATGCACTCACTTCGAGGCGCGTACGTGCTGCCGCCATCGTGTAGCGCACGAAACTGCTACATGAAAATTAATGCAGGGGATTGGGAGAGAAGTCTATCACTAAAGTTTTGAACGATGGTCGAGGAAGTGCATTATCTATGTATTTATTTTTCGATTTGATAAACAACTTACGAAAACAGAAGTTTAATCTACGTGATAGTAATGGCGCTACAGAAGTTGGAAAGTAATTGGTGAGTTGGTTTAATACATTAATCTTATTATTTAAGGAGTAAAGTAATGATATTGTTAAGTAAAAAGAATCGAACTGTTGCGTCGTTACAATGATCAAATAAAAAAATAACGTTGTTACCGTAGTGCAATATATCGTACATTATTACTATAACGCATAAAGTTGGTACTCGATGTTCAAATGTCGCTACTAAATTCGAAAAGATCTAAGAACACAGATATTCTTAGATGCAATAAATTTGTCGCAGTGACGAAACATCTGACGAGCCACGTTCTTCTAAGAAACTTAATATATTTTTGACAACTGTAAAATGAAAATAATTGTTATATCGTTTCTTTAAATTTTAATTCACTATTTGACTATTTACATACCTGTTTTATCTTCCGTGTTCATGAACATATTCATAATGGAAAAACGTTTCACTCGACTGAACGACTTCAGAAAATTGTTGAGCAGCTCGGTGTCATTAGGGGTGCAAAAATGTCGCTCTAAGCAACGCAAAATCGTACTGAACATGTTTCCGTCGAGTTCGTTGCCTAAAACTAATAAATTTTGTATAGAAAAGAGAAGAAATTCTTATGTTTTATTAAAAAACTAACCTGTGCCTAATTTATCGACGTTCAAAGACCGCAACAACTGGGCGTGTATTTCTAAATCAGTATCACTTTTCATTGACCGCCATACGCGCATAAATTCGTAGGGGTTTTCGATATTATTAAAATTCTGAAAATTGCATCAATCAAGATTTTGTATTTACTTTTTCTGGAGTATCGTTAAAAGCATACCTTTGAAATACATTTTTTCGATTTACTAGTTTTTATCTCGTACTTATCAGCAACTTGTATTTCCCTTGGAGACGACACTGTATTAAACGAGTTCGAATTTTGTTCGTGACTTTTTTTTACATTCTTAACATTCAATTTCGATTTCTTATCGTCGTACGTTTTATTCGTATTCGAGGTGTTTGTGTTGGAATTATTTTTATTAGCAGCCATCTCGTTTGATTTGCTTTTCACACCATTGTTACAAGGCTCGCTAGGTAATTCCTCGATGATAACGGAATTACCTCGCTTAGGTGGCATCGCGCAAGAGAAGATTGATTTTGGGTTTGTAAATAACGAGGAACTCCTTTCTTGCGCCGAATTAGAACGTTTAGACAATTCGGATTTCTTTGAAACGTCGTTTTTAATCGTTTCTTTTTGTTTGTTGACGTTATCGAGACAGTAATCGGCTTTAAAGTGCGGCCTGGGTCTCAAATTTTGCGACGGCCCTGGCGCTCGGTCGCAAAAGCAAATATTATTCTCGATAGATAATTTTGATTCGAATTGCTGATAGAAACTTTTATTCTTCACGATTTCGTTCGACTTCGATTCTACACTCGTATCTTCCTCCTGTTCTACGATAGCCATTCTACGAGTATCAAATCAGAATAAATCAGGAATTAATTTGTATTTATTTGGTTAAATTATTTTTTTTATGATTTACCTCACTTTCTTAGATGTGCAAGGTTTTCTTAACTTCTTTACTCCGGCTATCGCATTTGGGTTGGTTGGTTCCAATTTCAAAACGGTTTCGTAATCTAGCAGCGCCTAAATATTTTTAAATTGTTACTTTAATGCAAAATATACAATTTCGTGGTCGCGTTGTTCGTTGTTTAAATACCTCAGACGGGTTTTCTAGGTGTTCTAAGGTCACAGCTCGTCGCAGAAGGGCTTTTACATTTGTACATTCCATGCTAAGCACAAAATTGCAATCGTCAAGAGCTTTTTCATATCGCTGAAGTTTCATAACTAAAAACACACGTATACGTTACTTTCAGTGAACGTGCAACTTTTAATGTGAATTATTTTACATTATTAATCGGATCGATCCTCTTACGTGTCATCGCGCGATTGTTGTACGCAGATATATTTGAATCTATCTTAATACTAGTATTATAATGTTCGAGAGCTTCTTCGTAATCACCAGCCCTGAACGACTCGTTTCCCTTTTCCCTTTCTTGTTCCGCCATTACGTTTAATTCGGTCCCGGTCAATGATGCTGATAAAACATCATTTTAATATCGTTTAGTTGAATTGTCCAGAAACTTGATCTACTATTTTAATGAATAACACTCACGACGTACATTTGTCAATTATTGTCTGTTTTTCAAGTTTCTTTTTCTCGATTATTTCCTTTTGTTTTCGTTGAAATATTTTGGCTCCAGCACGGGTCTGCTCGTCACGTATATCTATTTTATTTAATTCCGTGTCGACATCGTACTTATCCCATGCGGAGTAATCGCACGAAGCGATTCGTTTGGTTTTATCAGTATTTCTCGAATTCGTTGCTTTATTATTCTGATCACATTAAGAAAGAAGCAAAGTATAATAAAAATAAATTGATCAATATACCAAGTAATATGCAGTAATAAAAAATATACTTTTATGGGTTCCTCTATAAATTTCCTGATTTCCGGCTGAGGAACTGCGTCTGACAATAACGTTGTCCTTCCTTCTTCTAAATCTTTTTCTCGAGACTGCATCTCAGACGACCAAGTATTTATGTCCGTATCAATTTTCTTGCACTCACTTGGCTCTAACATGTTTCGCCTGATAACGGGTTCGAATTTTCTTAAAACCGTACTCGTTGGCTTAATAACAGTCAACCGTTCTTCCGCGTGTCTCGTTAAATCCGGGTAATAACCTTCTTCGCCGGAACTATTAATAAAACGTAGGGTAAATAATTCGTGAAACTATAAAAACACATATACTCCTATGTATTGTCAACATACATGCAATTAATAGGTACAACAAATATTATGAGTGGGTCACCTACTCAAGACAGCATATTTCATTATAAAATAGATTCAGCGAACGTAACAAACATCAAAACGCTTTAATGAAAATCTAAAAGATTAAAAATTAATTACATCGGCGGATGTCGATTTGAATACAGTTTTCGTTAAGTTGAAAACCCCGCCGGATTATGATATCTACTTACCGCAGTATAGTTACTAAACGCTCCAGCGTTTTCCCGTCTGTGCATTCGGAAATGTATTCGTACGAAAGATGCTCGACCGGTACGCCGTACCTTTCGAGCAACGACTGTTTCTCTGGTTTCGCAACGCGAACAAGCTCTGTATCGTTCGCATCCATTGTACCAAACAAAATACCGCGTTGGTGGAAAATCCTTTCCTTCGGTTAGAACCTATTTAATTCGGTTGCCATGGGAACACGCATACCAAATTGTCAATTTCGTATGGTTTATCTACAAAGGTACGTGCATCAAGCTCGATCGATAATGCAGGGAACCTACCTTACGATGCGTTTCCAACGGAAGTTCTGGGACGAGTGTATAGCGGCGTATGCATACGGTTCATCCGAGCATTCACAATCCGGTATTATACCTAACCTTTTGTTAGTTCAAGACCCTTGTGCGAATGATTAACTAGATGGACAATGAACTCTCAATGAAACATTTGATTCAAGAAAATTTAATAACAATCGACAATGACTATTTATAAAGATATATCATTAATCGTTATTCGTATTTCTTAAATATCGTTTTACGATTATTAGCAGGTAGAATTAATGCAAATTCAGACGCAGATAATATGTTCATAAAATTGATCTGTAATTTCGTATCATAACACTACTCTTTTATACTGTGTATCGGTGAAAAGTTCACGAATAATAAGGCTGACGATTGTTATCGGTAATTATTGATGAAGAGTTTGTTCGATTCGATAACGCGATAATTCGAGGCACGGTGCCTCGGACGCGGTAGAAGTTATTGTGGTCATAAAGAGAAAAGTGTTCGCGTAGTTACCTGTACTCGCGGACACGCGCTTGCATACTAGTGCTCCGCGCATTGGTCTCCGCTTACCTGTTAACACGCCAGTCACCTTGTAGCGTGGAGCAGTACGCCATGCCGTGGTCGAGACGTGCAGTGGGCAGTCTGGAGAGTGCATATTAGACAGCGCGAGGCGCTCAAGCTCGAGCATTCGCCGGCGAGCGCTCGGTGAGATCGGTGCTGAGTTCTTTTCGTGTATCGCGTCCGTTTGCGTATCGTCATCGGTGAATTTCGTCCCGTTTCTACCATCACTATACGGAATAGCATAAAATAAAGAAACGCAGAAGCGTGATTCGCGTAACGGGGGACGTACGATCGTGGAATTCTACGCCGAGTGAATTTATTATCGCTAGTGGATATCAGGTATTTATTCAACCGTGTTTTCGTACGTTGCGTCGAATAGTATCACATGCCAGTATTGTGGAAAGAAGATCGACTACCTTGTGTAAACACGGGCCACATCTGTCCGCTGTTTAATGTTTGCACATCACGGTCGACCTTCCGGAGGTCGCGCTGATAGGAGATTTGATGACTCCTCGTAACACCTGAATTATCATACGAAATGTTCTACAGACGACGTTTCATCGCGTGTACATTTTTGAGGTTAATCTCTCCTCGTTTGGCGCGTCTGCAATCATACCACAATGTATGCATCTGTCACCCGGCGAGTACGATAAACTGCGATAAAGTATTCAACGTGTAAACCAAGTCGACTGGCGCGTTTATTATTCGTCAAGAGAATACTGGGTTTAATTACATTCGTCTTCGCAGTTTGTTGATAAACGAGCGTCGTCGACTGGCAATTTTGTACGACGTACTTGCGAACATTCGATTTCAATCGTACGTAGATAAGGTCACGTATTAAACGACGCTTCATTCTCTATTTTAGAAAAAAAGATACACACTGGTTAGTGTTAATGTACGTTATCTAATCTTGTGACTTAAATCGAAAGAATTCATATATGAGACAATTACAAGGTCGAAATAAAGTAAAACACATCAACTTGATGCAAATGAAATTCGTCATTTATTTGCTTTTTAAATAATTGCGATTTTGTACGAGTACGTTTTTCATTGGTGGTTTTTCTTATATTAGGATACGTTTATAAATTACATTTAATGCGATGTACAGGTATTTACAGTTAAAATAAATTTCTAATCTTTAGAATCAGAAAGTTTATATTATCCTTTATTGCAAAAAGATTACAACTTCAGCATAAATGAAACCGACATCACGCTCAAAATAGTACAAGACTATTATGCAGTATATTATACAATAAAACAGTAAGACTATGTAGGAAGTTACTTTCAATATTTCGTAGGATAGTCGTTACTATTCATAACTTGCTACGATCGTCGTAGTATCGATCTATCTAATTAACTTTTCTATATTTCCTGTTTCCGTAATTTCATTTTCAATTCGTGCTAAACTTGTTCAATTACATTTAAAGGTGGCTGTAGGGGTACTTGTATATATTTCTGTAAATTATGCAATATCCATTACCTATTGCCTTTTATATATTTTTCAAATTTGAACCTCCCTTACCTGTGTTTAGCACTAATGATACTTGCTTATTTTTAATATTCTTCTGACGTTTCCATATTTACTAAATTACGTTAATTTTTTCGAGTCAATTCGTGGTCTGAAAGCTAATTTAAATTATGTTTATGAACGCTATCTAAATTGCAGACGTACATATTTAAATATTTTTTCAATTCACGATAAAGTTGTTGTCTCTTACATAAAGTAACCTATAATAGTTGTCTTCCGATTTCGAGCATGTATAACGAACCAGTACCTACAAATTAGTAATTCATATTTTATCGTAATCCTTATCCTGTTATCATACTAAATTAACATTTGTTTGGATCGATTATACATTACCTGCCATGAAAGATTTTTAACAGCTGAAATCGTCGCAATAATTTGCATCGTTGATTTACGAAAATTCCTGCGTGCGTCGTTCTTCCGTGCAGCGTGTACATAGACTCCCTAATAATAAGCTGCGCGCGCAATGGAGCGAAAGTGGTTGATAAAGTTTTCGGAAAGAAACGTTGCATTTCGTGTGTACCAAGCTTAATATCCACCTTTCCTAGTGTCTCAATTGTCGAGAGAAACTTGCAGAGTTGTTCGCGCGCGAAGTAGCGATTTGTCGACGGTTTCGTTCGGCGCGAAAAACCGTGGAACGAAAAAATTGAATCGGCGCGACGCAGGAATCGCGAGAGCACGTGGGCGGTGCTCGGGTCTAGTTCTCCGCGCGCCGTTCGCTTCCAGTATTCGTCTGCCCGTCCGAGGCAACGAGTGGTTCTGTCGTTGGTGCGTGCACACGCGCGCGCGCACGCTAGCTTGCTCCCTCGTCGAACCTTTTCTCCTCTTTTTCGTAATCCGAACGAGCGACTCGACGTTGGCGGCGCCAAGCGAGAAAAGATGACGAGGAGAGGGAGGCCGTCGACCCGTTATAAATGGAACTAGCAAGACAGCATTTCTTGAATCGTTTCTTCTGTTATTATTCGCAGCGTGTCGGCGCGCTGGTCCGCATGTCTTCCCGCGACGCGACCGGAACGCCACCGTACGTCGCCGTTACCACCGTGGTCCAGAGGATGCAGTCGAACCCCGGCAACGGTGGAAAGTGACGTTTTCGAAAGGAACAAAAAAGAGAAATCGGAGAGGAGCGAGAAATCGAGTGGACAGGAAGTGGCATTTTCAACGACGCGACCAACGACCGATCTCGCCGCCAGTGTGTCTCCGTTAGGCGAGCAACTTTCGACCCGGTTTCGCGCCGAGCGCGTTTTCGGTCCGTAAAAAACGTAAATCCGGGGACGGAAAATGTGCAACGTTCACGGGATTCCGGAACGCGTGAAGTGAGCCGCAGTTCGAGAGCCGTGTGTCTTCGCGATCGGTTTCGATCGAAATTAGCAGTAGTTTGCTCGACAATTCACCGCCGTGTTTCGCTGTTGCGGAATCGTTTAAATTGGCTGCGACAATTCGTGACGCTCGGTCCCCGATTTCTTCGCGAGAGGACTGCATCGGTCGAGCAGTGAATCACATACGAGCGACGTTTCGAAAGATCGACGTGTCGTCGCGTCTAAAAAGGTGGCTCTTACTCAACACAGTTTATCGCGCCATTGGGAAGCGTGCGCGGAATGAACAACGTGGTTTCACGTACTCCGTGAAGTTGCCCCTATGGTTCGAGGCGTGATTAGTGGAAGCGGAACAAGTGACCAACGTTACGAGTGCTACCGGTTGCTTTACAATGTGAATGAATAAACAGACGCTCGGTACGAGGACAAGAATTACCCAAGGGACAAATACGATCGTTTAAATCCAGTTTCTCGTTCGAAACAATGTATCGTCGTGTTTGGCAACAGTTTTCTTTTTTCGCGTAAACGTGACGTTTTCGTAAAACTGTGTTTATCGAGGAATCGTCGTGCAGCGCGCGCGCGTCGTTATCTGCAAACGTTTTGTGACGGTTGCCCTTGTGCGATGTAAATGGACTTTATTGCCGTTGGAACGAAACGGATTGCGCGCTCAGTGAAAAACGGCGCGAACAGTGTCGATTGGAGAATATATAATGTGCAAGCGCGGTTCCGATGACACCTAACATCCACGTCTGATGACAAACGTCAATAGGATCAGGGTGGTCGTCCTCGGCGGCCCCAGAGTCGGAAAATCAGGTAACCTAGAAATATTTCAATTTTTATTTTATGGCCGCTCTAGCGCCATTAATGGCGCTGATATCGGTAGAGGGCGGTTTACAAAAATCGTCTTCCATACATACTAATCGGTATCCCTAAATAATGAAATTGATTTGAATATTACATCGTATCAAACGCGATTGAAATACGAATGTATACATATAACGAAGTGCATATTTGATATTATTTACACGTTAAAACAGCTGACGCATTTCGCGTGTAAAAATAAGCTTATCCAAAGTCTATATTCTTCTGTATTTTATTTCATCTTCTTTATTCCTCTGTTTTGCTATGTTTTAATGCCAAGAATGTTCGTTGTTTTCAGAAGAAATATTTTCCCTTAATCTGATTCACTTTTGAGCAGAACTCGTATACATTCCAATATACAAAATATTATTATCTTTCTTCGAGCATGGAATGCATTCACATTTCGTTGTTTCACGACACGAAATAACAATCGCCTGAACTTGTATAATTTTATTTCTGAAACGAACCGAGTAACTTGTTTGAAAATTGTCTCCAATTAATTTTAAGTTCTCCAGATATCGCTTAATATATTGTGATTTGTTCGTATGAAAATACACTTGATACCAGCGTCGTTAGGTTATGGAAAAGTACGTCCCACGGTACGAATATAAACGTATCGGGGAGGTATTAATTATAGCGGACAGTACTAATATTGTGTCATGTAAAGCGTGTAATTTCTGCACGTCTATCTAATACCGCAACGACGGATTGAATGAAAGTGCCGTTAAGATGAATACGTATAGTCTTTCGTATAATACAGTGCATTAGTTAGCCCGACAGTCGTACGACGCGTACAAAGCGAGCAAATGAAGGCAATAAGATAGTTCACTGACCTCGAATTAATCCTATTAATAAGCCGCGGAACTGATACCCGCGAATGAAGTGTAATTCCCCTGTTGTATGCACACGTAATTTTTTCTCAATAAGGTCACCATTCATTCTGCGTAATTAATATTGATTACAGACACCTATTATCAGTTTCCATGAAGAAAACTTTGATTTTTACCGTTAACATTTGAATACAATTTAAAGAATTGATTATTTTGAATCAGCTTTTTTTTTGCAACGAAGTACGATACGAAAAACGTTACGAAACACATTTATTACCAAGTTGTAAAACGCATAAAAATATCGTTGTTATATAAATTTACTTAGAGACCCTACAGTTACTCGAATTTGGTACGCGACCCAGTCATATCCCGGTAGAATTAGGGTTAATGGATTAAGCGATTAGTAATATGTAATTTTAGTTCTATTCATCACGCGTCTGTCTGGATAGTTCAGAATTGATCTTTGTAATATGCAGTTGTATCGTGCCGTAGCATTAACTTGATCGACAGAGAATTATGTAAGATGGCGGGACTGATTGGCAGTAAATTATGACATCGGTAATATTTACAAACACAGTCAACTTTGGGAATAACCAGAAGTCCGATATCGCCAAATTGAAGTTGTGCACACGGTGTAACCTTTTAGCGTTAAAAATTCCAATCGCGGTTGGTACGCAATTCAGAAGTCGAACTCATGATAAATGACTCTGTTACGTAACGAAGCTGCACAGAAAACTGAAAGTTTGCGCGTTTAGACCAAACACCCGAGGTTATCAAATACAGATTAGAATTCGTTTATATCCCCCATTACTTAATGGCATTATTGCAGACCTTACGAGTCTTTGCAAGGTGATAGTATAGAGGGTGTTCAGCCACTTTTGGGAAAAATTTTAATGGCAGATCTTAGAGACCAAAATAAGACAAAAATTAAAAATATAAATTTCTTGATTGAGGCATCGTTAAAAAGTTATTAAAAAATTAAATGGAAAAATTTCAAATCATTTTGGAAAAATTATTTTCAATTCTGGGGGTCAATTACAATCATTTTTGGTAAATAAACATATCCCCGAAATCCTACGCATTTTCGAGAAAAAAATAGAGTAGGTGGACAAATTTTTCGGCAAAATTAAAAAATTTCAAATCGTTCTGGAAAAATTATTTTTGGCTGCAGGGGTCAATTATAATCATTTTTGGTGAATAGACACACCTCCGAATTTCTACGCATTTTCGAGAAAAAAATTCGAGTAGATGGACAAATTTTTCGGCGAAATTAAAAAATTTCAAATCGTTCTAAAAAAATTATTTTCGGTTATAGGCGTCGATTACAATCATTTTTGGTGAATAGACACGCCCCCGAAATCCTACTCATTTTCGAGAAAAAAATTCGAGTAGATGGAGAAATTTTCGGCGAAATTGAAAAGTTTTAAATTGGTTTGAAAAAATTATTTTCAGTTGCAGGGGTCAGTTATAATCATTTTTGGTGAATACACATACCCCCAAATTCCTACGCATTTTCGAGAAAAAAATTCGAGTATGCGCAGAAATTTTCGGTGAAATTGAAAAGTTTTAAATTGTTTTGAAAAAATTATTTTCAGTTGCAGGGGTCAGTTATAATCATTTTTGGTGAATACACATACCCTTAAATTCCTATGCACTTTCGAGAAAAAAATTTTTTATCGAAAATATATCCCATGAGTATAGACTGTAGATATTGAAATGGCGTTGGCGTAGTGAAGAGCGTGCCTGAATGGTAAATCCGAGGTTCTGGGGGGTTCGATTCCCATCCAAGTATTAGTATATTATACATGATTTTATTGTAAAAGTTTATTATACACTCTCCTCACCTCGCCCCAATGCTGCAAGTATGGTTCATAACTTGAATTGTTTATATCTTTAAAATTATTAAATATCTACACCTAATATTTTCCACGTATCCTTAAAAACATAAATACTGTCGCTTTGCAAAGACCCGTTAGAATCGAAGTCCTTCCCTTAGTCCATCGATCAACCTTCGTGTATCGCCGAAAAAATAAATGTTTTCGGTTCGCGGTCCGAAAATGCGTTCTCACACGGTCTATCCGGGTCCCCGTATCGTTCACGGGACGACCGTTTGATCAGAAAGCGGATATTCTCGGCGAGAGAATCCGTAAAAGTCGTGAGAGAGGCTGCGTCCCGCTGGGTATAATAAGGACCTCCGTGGACGTTATCGGATATCACTATGAGAGTGGTCAGCAGGTCGTCGAGCTACGAAAAATCCTCGCACGGCAACAGGTTGAGAGATCTGGACATCCGATACATCCGTTCTGTTACCGAGCACACGCTCCCCTCGTTCGGGACCTGCTGCATGCCGAGTTTACGCACCGACGTTGCTTTCCTCCCCTTATCGGCTTCCGGCGAATCTGTGTTTCCACGCTTTCAGTTCTCGGGGCCCAACAAATCGTTCAACGGAATCCCCGTGGTCGCATGGCGATTGATTTTTCCGCTCCTTGCTTGGCTACCGACCGGGGTACCCCACTTCCTAATTAGAATTACTCGGTTCACTTTGTTCCTTGGCCCTTTGGTCCGATCGGATCGAGCGCGTGATAAAATTTATCGCAGGAAAGACTAATAGCCCGTAGTCTTAACCCTAGGAAGACCGAGCCACGAGCTTGTCACGTTTGTTACGAGAGGACTGAGGACTGAGGGCGGCTGCTTACGATCGGACGTTTATTTAGAGTTTGTTAGTCGCGGAAGAACCAGTGCTTGGTTATCATCGAGAACCTCTAGAAAGGTGGATGTCCTTAACAAACCTCCAGAATAGGGACTATACAGAGATTTCGTTTAAAGTCGGTACCTTTGATGACGCTAACGTAACATACGATTTTTTTAAACGAGGTTGAAATATAGTAGCGTCTGGTTTAATAGGTCTCGTTATTTTCTATGTAACGTTTGATTTAATTTCCCTGAGGATAAGGGGTGGTTTCATCCCCTCGGAATATTTTTTATGTTAAAACTCTGGGACGATGCGGGAGCCGCCATATTAGAGAATGAACCTCGCGCGCCACCTGAACGGTGGAACGAAGTACTACTTGCTTCGTGTCGCGAGGGGAGAAAATCTCTAGCTCTTCGATCAATCGAGACTCATCTCTTTTAGGCACGATTTAGGCATTATTCTTGAGCACACCTATCCGAATGTTTGAAAAATCTTCTTATCGTCATTGATATCGTCCCCAAGATATATTTTTGCTTCCCATTGCGTTCAGAATCTTTCGTATATTGTAACTGCACAAATATGTTAAGAAATATAAACACGTTATTGTGTAATTTGCTACATGTTGTTCCAAAATCAAGTTCATTCTTTACTTCCACGGTAAACGCATTGCGTCGAACAAACAAACAATATTATGGTTGATAAAAGCCACCGTTTACAAATATCCGATCACGCGTACGAGTATCCTAACCTAACCACAACTGTGGAAATTCCAGAACTACTGACATTTCGTTTTTTTGTTTGTTTTTGGTTACTTAGTATACAATAATATGAAAAGACAGTCTTATTACGTATGTACAAAGAAACTAATACGAAAGAGAAGTAATATCCCTTTTATATCAGAACCATGAATGAGCAATTCGATAAATTCTGGAATTCGAAGTTCTGGCATTGCTAAATTGGATAATAAATCACGTCAGTGAATCAAGCTTAGAGTACAGTCACCATTGTTGTCCAACGTACGCATTTATGGTTTTGGCGTACAGCTGGGGACAAAAAAGATATTCGATAAAAGTCATGTTCGCTGCAAAAAGTGAACGTTTTCACATTCATGGTTCTGGTATAACGGGGACGATATATTATCGACGTTTCGTTCTTCATCTTCAGAAATGCACAGACAATTTTCTGCAAATAAATATTGTAATATGATAACGTGTGAAATTGTATGTGAAAGTGCGAAATGGGTTTTGTAAAGAAAGGACCCGAGGGAAAGTAATAGAAAGAAAAGAAGTAAAAAGTAGAGAGACATTTAAGAGAAACTTGTTTCTTAGATTGTGCAGGTTCTATCTGATGAATGTAAATAAAACAAAAAACAATGTCGACTGGCAATAAGAACCTCCATTCTTTTTGCAATAATATTTGACCTTAAAAAT